TTTTTTTTTTTTTTTTTTTTGACTTATTATTATTTTTATTGTCCATTTTATTTCTAGTTTTGCACTTTAGTTTTCCTTCTTGTTTTAAGACGTGATTTATTTTTTGCCACTTATTCTCTAACGTGTGCCTTTCTCTTATTTTTGTATGTATTTCTCCTGCTGTCTACTATTTATATTTCTTCCTGCACAGTTGGTGTTGAGCACCCACAGTTTCATTGTACATGTACAATGACAATAAAGGGCTATTCTATTCATTCTATTTATTGCTTTCTTTTAACTGGGAGCACTTTGGTCAGAGCTGTTGTTTCCTTTCTTTTTCCTTTTTCTTTTTTCTTTAAACACGCACTATCAATAAAGTATATGGACATATGTGCATCGATCCCTGTGGAGAAATGAGTTCATTGCCACAGCGAATCAGGGGAAGGACACGAGTGTGAGACGAGAAACAGGCAATAACAACAGCGAGAATGACAAAAGCGAGCGATGTGGTCGCTGAAAACAGCACTCGAAGCTTCAGCGTCTTCTGTGACTCGCATGGAGAAACCGATATTAGTTATTTTTATTATCATGTGTTTTAAATTTTAACACAGATGACTGAGAACAGAGTTGCTTGACAGTTGGACGTCTTCCGTCGAGCTGATCCTGATGCAAAATCTTTATATTAATGCAAGAGTTAAGAGTCTCTAGAGCTGCAGGAACACCTTCAGAGTGCTTTGATGATGATTTGATGAATAAATTATTTAAAACTACATTATCCAGATGTGTTTCATAACCTGACGGCAGGCTTTTTTACTCCTGTTTCAGCTAAATGTAAAGGCGTGCGCAGCTCAGGCTTCACATGCGTTTGAATTCATCTTCCCGAATCAGCGGAAAAGGCACAAAATTCTAAACCTGTTATTGTTTTCTCCAGTTTGGTTGGACTCTGCTGATGTCGGTGTTTCTGTCACCAGAGAGATCCGCATTCAGCGTTTCAGCAGCACCTGAGTCTCGGGGTCAAGCGCTGCTGGACTTTTTAGCATCGCAACAAAAAAGAATTTGCTGGAAACAATTAGTTTTAAAGTACTTTACACTAATAGCCTGTCATTGTATTGTTGTGTGCGCTGAATCAAAAACAACACGGCAGCCTTGGCAGGCGAAACTGCACAATAATCTGAGGCTGGGAATTCATTTGGCCTGGCTTTTAAAGCCAAGAAGTGACTCTGTAGATCCCCAAAGCGTACTTTCTCCTGTGTATTTTCTCTTGCTCATCCTTGCGTCACGTCATTCATTTGTGAGATTAGATGCCTGAATCAAAAACAGCAACACAAAGCTATATAACTGCGGAGGTTTAGGGTGGTGCTTTCCTCTGTGGAAATGTGTATTTTTCTTCATGTGCACACAGTGTGTCACTTCCCCCGGATCGGAGCTTGTTGGAAAAGAGCCTCTTGTTTATTTCTGTGGGAAATAGCTGTTTAAGTGTTGCCTTCCTGGTCACATTGTGCTGTTTTTCACACTCCCGGCTGTGTGTTCTCCTTCCAGGACCAGCGCCTGAAGGAGATCACCATGCAGACTCCACCCTCTGCCTCCCCCAGCAGCCAGTCGATAGGCAGCGCCAACAACAACAACCACGTCACGCAGACCCCGGAGTTTTTCAGCTCCACGCTGTCCACCAACAGGTGAGCACGCTGCACAGCCAAACACCTCCCTCACACAGTCATACTCATCACACTGAAAAGGAGCCATTAGCTTAAATATGCAGCGCTTTGTAAAGATGTTCAGTAACGAGCACAGGTGTGCACGTTACTGAACAGGTTGGTGAGGAATTTGCATTTTACCACCGTCCTGTGTGCAGCAGAGATCTGACTTCATGCTGCAAGCAGCAGGTTTTGAGACAAGAGCAGCACATAGAGTTCTTAAATGAAACCCACTTAGTAATATGGTAACTGATACAGCACCACTGACCAGCTACAGTGTAGCTCTAACACCAATGCACTGTGTTAGACGTAGACAGGAGTTACTTTGTAACTCATCTAAAACCTTACGCTACAGCCTGACGTTCACCCGGAGAAATGTAACTCCACGTTACATCAGCACAGTCTGCAACACTTGTGATTGGTCCGTTCAGTTACATTGTTTCCTCCTGTGTTAGTAGGCAGCTACTTTTCAGTACAGCTGGGTATCGCCGCTGATTTCTAGAATCGATTCGATTCAATTCGATTTGAATCTGGGAAATTTTGCCTCACACAGTCAGAAATATTATAATTCAGATCAGTACATTTACATATTTTTGCATCTATAAAAAGGAAGCTGACACTCACAAGACTTTATCAAAGGTGTGAGCATCACAGCAGAGGCCTTTGTGTCAAAGTAACTGAAGATAAAACAGAAAAACATGAAGGTGATTTTCCTGGCCTGGGTTTTATAAAAATATTCTGCAGTTCATCAAAAACAAAAGAAAACTATTAATCAACATATGAACATTACCTCTGAAGTTACAGCAGTTTTATTAGAGACACGGCTAACGTTTTGCATTTTGCATCATTTTAAAAAGTTTACATTTGTTCAGTATTGAACGGCAGAAATTAGGTTTTCTTTTCGGAAGTAAGTAAAAGGGAAAAAAAGAGCGGCCGACAGCCTGTAAACAACGTAGACTTGTGCGTAACAAGCAAGCGAATAATGCAGAAAACAGATTTTTAGACGGGAAACTGTTCTTGAAGTACAGAGAGAGAGAGAGAGAGAGAGAGCTGTGCATGAAGTGTACGATGTTTATGTGAAGCGTAGTTTGAGTCTTCTTTTGCTGCTGGTTCAGTCAGTATTGTTTGGAGAGAGATCAAACTAACAGCTCTAGAATCAGCGCAAAAAGGGCGTAAACACAAAGCTTGGACCCGCCGAAACATCAGAATCAGCGAGCTGTCGGCTTTCAGCCCCGACCGTGCCGTCGGGTGAGAAAGGCGACATCTCACTGATTCTGATCCGTCGGCGGGTCCGCGCTTTGTGTTTACGTCTTTGTGCAGAATCCGTGTACCTGCTCTCATTTACTGTTTTAGCTGTTTGGTGGTTGTCGAAACTGAGAATCTGGCATTTCGGGCAAAATAAATTTATATTAAAAAATCGATTCAGGATTTTAATGAATCGATATCACGTTATCCAAGCCAGAATCGATATTAATCGATAAATCTATTATCAAAACCCACCCCTACTTTTCAGACTGTCATCTGGATGTGATGCACAAGCAACAAATGAGTTAGTGATTTGTTTTCTGTCAAGTCCATGAAACATATTGGCTTTGATTTGAGGGTGATCATGTGACTGACGTGATTTTTATCCTGGCATCCTAGGTGAAAATCAGTGGGAGCACTGTTGAGTTCCTGCCTCTTACATACAGTCTTGTCATTGAAACCCAGTTTGCACTGGCGTGACACATTACTAAATCTGTTCTTTAGTTTGTATGAGTGCAGAGCCCGTATAGGAAGTCTGCAGACAGACGATAACCACTGTTAAAGAGGAGCTGATAGAAAACTTAAAAAGATGCATTTGAATGATGGTGATGCTGTGAAGATCTAATGTTGTGATCTAACCTTACATTACGCTGTCACTCGTGAACTTTGTGCAGTATGAGGAGAATCGGTCAGGACATCGTCCTTGTTACGTTCTTACTACAGGAGATAGTCCACTGCAGACAAGTTCTCACTACTGGAAACACTTAAGGAAGCTGCCAGGAGGCAGGACACATGACAGACTTAATTAGCTAAACTGTTCTCACATGCCTGAAATTCAACATCACGCAGACTTTGCTCTGGAGACATGATGACATTTACATTCTTACTCACAGCTCCGGTGGGTGAAATATTTGGGCTGCAGTGGGTTTTAGGTGCTGGTGCCCAGCCATTTGAACTCAACAGGAGGTGCTTTATATTATAATACAGATTTTCAGATGAAGTTTCAAGATGTTAATGAACTTTTTAAAGACAGTAACAAACCTCCTCTTGTTGTGCAACAGAGATTAAAAATATATATTTGTTTTCTGTCAGCGTGCATTTTTAAAAAGAATTCTTATCTAACACAACACATCCTTCTCGTATCTCATCTCCGGCTGTAGCGGAGGTAAAGTAAGACTATTTATTCTTGATAATCAGAACAGAATTTAGGCCCAGTGTGCACGCTCTGAATTTACTGCTCCTAACTGCTTTATTGCTCTCTGGAAGTTTTTACAGCCCTTCAGAGCGGGAGGATTAATCTTTATCTGTGACAAACGAACATTTTTAGTGGTGGCTTTAGCTATTTATGCTCAATTGATTAAATATTAATGCTGCGTCTCCATCTGTCTTTCCGTATCTCTCTGTTCTCTCGCTGACTTACTCGACTCCTGTTCCCCTTTTTTCTCCCCCTCCTCCCTCTCGACTCATCCTCATTTCTTTCACCCTCTTTTTCTTTTCTTTTTTTTCTGCTCGCCTCTTCTGTGGCTTGCCTCTCTGCTTTTCTCTCCTCAGTGTGCCCAATCTGAACAGTGACCTGTTTGATCTTCAGCCGGCCTTCATCCCTGCTGTGCAGAGCACTCCTTCCATCTCCAACGCCAATAGTGCCTGGGGAGGTACGTTACCTGCATACATACACGTTTTCATTTATTTTTATATATATTTATATATATAAAAATAAATGCACCAGCAGGGACGCAGACATGCGTATAATCAGACTTACACAAGTTAATTTATTTCTGTAATATCCCCTCTGGCTGCCACTCGAGCACCTGTGTCCATCCATCTATCTGACCATTCGTCATGGAAACCATCCATCCACCACCATCATCGTCTCCACCGTCATCGTGTTTTCTTCAGGGGCTAATGTAGCGTGACCCAGTCGGCGTCTTGTGTTGCGTTCCAATCTCTGCTGCTCAGTACAGAAGTGAGACTCACACAGCGTCTCCTTGTTGTTTGTTTGAGGCTGAAAAGCTGAGAACAGACTGCACCCCAACAAATTTGTGTGGAGGGGAAAAAAAAGAAGAAGGTCGACATTTCAGCGGGTGCAATCGGCCGCTTCGGATCAAAATGTAGCGCAAAGATGCGTCTGTAAGCTGGGCTAGTGCGGCGTATTTAAGGCTTTATGATAAAGGATTATGCAGAGTTTGGCCACGTTACAGTCAGAGCGACTTCCTCACTTCAGATATGAGCCTTTCACATTATCAGGGACTCTGACCCAGAAGCTCAGATAAATGTCCCCCGTACTTTTCTCAGAAATACCACAAACCTTACTTGCTTCAGGAAATGTCAGAGGATGTAAGATTACGAGATACTGATCGGGTTTTCAGTCGGGCAATAGACGGAGGATGTATTTTAAAAGAGTACTTTAATATTTGGGGGAAATATGCTTCCCGTTGTGCTGGGGAAAACTTTACAGAGAATGTGTGGCTAGCTGAGACCACGAGTTGTAACGTTCCCATTAAAGGGATGCACTGACTTGTCCCACTTTTTCAGCTGGAATGATCCTTTTTAGGGATTTTTCTCACTCACACTTTTACCACCGTACCAAAAAAGAAATGGTATTCACTTCATTTATTACCATTTTGGTTCATTCAAGCTCAGTTTGAGTCTTTCATGATTGCACTAGTGTTTTTTCTCTGCTCTGTTTTACTGTGAGTACACCACCTCACACAAGAGACGGGTGAAGTGAAGATGATAGCAATCAGGTAGAAGACGGCTCCTTCTCCCTGCTGTAGATGCACTAAAAGCTTCCCAGTAAGTGTAAAACCAAACATAATGAGAAAGAGAAAGAGAGTGCTTTTGTTGGAGCTTTTCAGTGGGTGTCAACATATTTTTTTGGTAAAGTGAAAAGCCAAACAAACAACAACAAAAACGGACTTAAAAGCTGGTGCACTGCTGCAGAAACATGGTATCAAAGGACAGCACAACGTGTAATATAGCTGAATAGATTGGCCCCAATGCTGAGCTTTCTGAGCCAGCACCAAACCAGTGTCTCATACAGTATAGATGTCAGCTCGGAGCATCTCTGGGAAATTAATGAGCTTATATCCAAAATGGCAGAGTCTTCCTTTACATACACGCAAAGTTTTAGTCAGGGAAACTTGTGCCGTGACAGAATTGCCAATTACAGGTGCACAAATAGCAGCATGCTAGTTGTTAAGACGTCACTTTTTCTGAATGTTGTAAGAGCAACATTTTACATGCAGATAATTGCATATCTGTGCTTTATGGTGACGTTTTTGGGGCGTATTCTTGTTTTGTGGATCCCACAAAGACGCCCGTTCCCCCTAGGCTTCGAGCTCCTAATCCCAGTCGGGGATGCGGAAAGACAAAAAGGTGCGTCAGTGGATTTCCTCGTGCACTGGCTTAACTCTCCCGTGAAAGGCTGACGTCCCCGACAGCCTGCGCAGAATCCCGAGTCATCGAGCAACAACAATAGCAGTACACTGGGGACTGTAGCGTCCATGCTCCTAATCTAATGGGATTAGTTAAGCAGGAGGTGCTGGAATCCTTACTTAAAGCAAAGCTGTGACTTTGGGCCTGTCTGATGGATGGATGTATGTACAGCTGTTTCCTTTGTAAAAGTGTGCCCGATAAAGCGTCTCCAGCTGCTATCTCGCGCAGCCTAAATAGCACAAACGGTGCTTTAATCAGTCATATTTAATTGCATTCCTCAGGACTGGACAGCCAACCTCTGCAGCAGAGCGGCCCCGCCATGACCGTAGATTTCGATGCTGTGTTTGGGAATAAGGCCACACCCAGTAACAACGGCCCGCAGCCTGCAGCCGGTAAAGCCTCCTCTGCCTGACTGTCCGGGCAGAGCCAGACTGAACTAAACCTTTTCCATCTTTTTATTATATAACTTTTGGCTTTGCTGGGAACAAAAGCTTAACACTTTACTAACCTTCTGACTTGTTTCTTGCGACTGAGTGGGTGTGTGCAGCTTGCTCGCTCTGTCACATAGACCTTTTGTAACACTTCAAACCCGAAGATGACTTCAGAAACAAATGCTTCCAGTATTTTTTATTGTTTAAAGGTGCATTGTTATAACTGGTACATATTATATCCAGGATCTGAGCGTGACCTAGACAGTGTGTAGGTAGCAGAACAGCAAAAGTCACAGCCATAGCTAGTTGATGATCTTTCAAAATAAAATGCATATACATCTAGCACCTTTTAAGACTGTTAATGTGTGTCCATGAGGCTGATTTTAAAAGCAGTGGTTGCAGACCACGGCACAAACGTATGCAATGAACTTGCAGACTCTGAAATGGTTGCTCGAAAGCAGGGACCAAGTCTGTGACCACTCACAGTCAGCTGCTGTCCTCAAAGAGACTTTGTTGGATCAAGATGTAGACAAAGCTGCATTGAGATGGAATTAGTCTGCAGTTAAACTCAGTTGGTTAAGTTAGTATTTACATGGAATCTGTTTGTGATAAAATGGCAAAGATCGCTGATTTACTTTGATACACCGACGTTCACATTACCTGCTTGCACTCAGAGTCCAGGCAGAACCTCATACATCTAAAACTCCTCCACAGATAGTTGCTGCAGGGCAGCAATGTAGCTGCAACCTGACATGGGTACATGGGTAACATTGCTTCTAAATCAGAATATAACCAGAATACAACCGGTTAAGCCAAGTCATTTATTTCAGAGAGATGGGTTACACTCATCAGACCGACTCATATTGATTGCAGTGTTCTGACAGTCTGTTCATAAATTAGACGGTAATTATTTGCAGACCTTTCCAAATCCACGTGAGAGTGACTGGAGCTGGTGTGAGTTTGGAGACAAGATGCCGTCCACCAGTTTATCGTCGTCTGACCCCAGAGAGGGTGGTACACACTAAATTAGTTGGTCACCACAATCGGGCAACCCCATAGATGTTTTTCTAGTCAGAGGTTGTCATCCTGTTTTTCCTCCAGTGTGATTGAGGCATTACTGGGTTTCTTTAATGTGCAATCTTTTTTAAATTTGAGCATTTAAACAGATCTTACCAAGCTGGAAGAAAACTGCTAAATACCCTAGTTAACTTCTGTTATCATTGTTAGTAGTGAGATGATTCTGACAGAGTGAACAGAGCTGAATCTATGAATACACTGTAAAGAATATTGTTGAATAGAGGAGTCATGATGTGTAGGAGGCCATCCTTCAGCCTCCTCGCCTGCTGCTGCTGTTGTGTCCTCCCTGTTATGGTAACAGCTTTGGACTGACTCTGACTGGCTCTTAAGTGTTGCAGGTCTGAGCCTTTTGGCTCTGAGCCCTCTTATTAGCTTACTTTCCTTTAACCTCTCAGCAACTGACACAATCAATTCCAGCGCTTCTCAACCCTTTAGAGTCCCGAGGCACTCCTGCAAAGCATATAATTTTAAGGCACACCGAGTTATCGACCACTCCAGAGAAGGTACAGCAGATAAGAGCGACTACCTGCAGAGGTCATCTAAAGACTATTTTCATCATAAAGGGAGAGGGAAGTTCAGAAAGAAGTGCAGGTTTAACTGCAGCAGCACGGAGGAAGTGTGCTGTGACTTCATTGGGTTTGTTTTAAATTAATTAAAGGGGTTTTTTTGGGTGCTTTTATTTCACACTTGAGGAAATTTACTGAAAGGTGTTTCATGGTGCCAGCCATTTTCACTGTGCTGGCATCCATCAATCAGCCTCACCGGGATTTATCGTCCAGCTGTTTCGGAGCAGCATTCGCTCCACGCGCAGTTCACACTCGTTGTCGGGACGACTTGATCATAGCACATTTGTCACACAGATCGCTCGTTGTAACCTCGAGGAAAGAATATCCTGAAGTCACCTGGGTGAAATGTTGTCACGTTATCATTGTTATCCGGAGGATTAGCTGTATTTGCACAGCTGTAGCGCTGCCTCGTCAGACACTCTTAAAGCCGTTTCACTCCAAAGGACCTGAGTTGTGACTTTGCTCGGGAGCTGCTCGCTCTAATCTCGTCTAACCCTGTCAGTCTCCTCTGCTCAGATTTAACAGTTGGAGGCGTGCAGCTTGTTCCTGGCTCTGGACGGAGCGACTCTTTCTATTAATAGGGCCTGTGTCGAGGCTGCCACTACAACTACCAATACACCATCTGGGTCACTGGCAGCATCGCATGTAAAATCCCCCTGTGTGTATGTGTGTGCTCATGCATTATCTGTGTATTTCTATGCGTGCTCACATGTGTTTGTGAGTCTGTGCTCACACGTCTTCTGTCATTTTACTCCATCCCATCTGTCTGCTTCTGCTCGTCTGTTATTTGTTGTTGTGGTTCACACCATCCCCACCTTCCTACTCCTCCCTGTATTTCCTCTCCCTCCCTCTCCCTGTCTTTGCCTCATCGTCTCCCCATCACACTTCACAAGGCAAAAATCACCCAGGCAACTCCTTTCCATCTGCTCTCCTCCTCCTCCTCTTCCTGTCTGTTTTTCCTCCCTTCTTAATTAATTAATAATTGATACTTTGCCTGAATTTTGGCCACTCTTAAGCTGTATTTGACCTCTAGTGATCTTTTCAAGATTTGAGTTTTCTGAAGGACAACAAGCAATTTCTGCTGGTTATTCTAATGAAGGTGCTCTGCCTGCTACTGCTGTGTCTGTGTGTCCGTGTTATTTAAAGCAGACTTGTAATGCATGCTTACTGCTGTGCTTCACAGTTGAAAATAATCCTTATAGTATCTTACAATGGCCTTGGTGCAGCCCCTCAGTGCATTCTCTGTATATGGGAAGCTCTCCCTTAGAAGTTGGGAGGCAGTGGGAGAGAGCTGTCAGGGATGTTAGCCTCTGACTGATATCATAAAGAAAAAAACCCAGTTTGAACTGACCTCGTTATTCTAAACTCTGTTTAACATTAGCAGCCACATATATGTGAGAAGAAATAAAGGTATAGTTCTGCCCTAATTCTGCTGCGTTCCTCTGTTTATGATCTTATCTGGTTTTGTCAGTGCAGCTTTCTGTTATTAACAAGCTCATAAAGACTTGCACAGGTCGTCAGTGAAGAAGTCACACTCTTAGAAAGGCCTGACGTTTGTTAGTCGCTTTGTGTAAACTCGTGATGATAATCTTCCTTCTCAGGCGGGACAAGTCTGAATTGAGTTTTGTCACATTAGCGTGGAAGCTGCGGCAGAACCAGATGAAACACTTGGACGGAGATTAAATGCACATCTTGTACTTCCTAAGAGGACTGTGTATCTTCAGTTATTACCTGCATAAAGGATGGGTTAATAGGGTTATGTTGGAAACACAGAATAGAGTGGTCTGATATTATTGAGTTTCCTGATCGTAAAACTGATTTATGATCATTTAGTCATCAGGATTCAGATGTTTTAAAATGGGGATGTGTTAGCTTTAGCTGCAGTCTGTTGGCATGATATAACATACTATATGTATCAAGTTAATAAGAGGGACTTTTTGCAGGAAGAAGTCGCTGTTACTTTGTGACCTGATTCAGGGCTTTTCACCAGGGAGAACAGTGTGGTGTGTGGCAGCAGGGTTTGTTAATGTTGATGTACTGGGTGAGAAAAGTAATCCTTACTGTGTGTTTACATACACACTGAAATATAGATGAATATATCAAATATGATGTTAAACTTGGTGTTTTTGACCAAACGTAATGCATTTATAGGTGCTGTAGATTAAATTTAGGTGAAATCATTGTGTAATTGTTTCACATTTCAAATGTACAGAGCTTTGTGCTGGTGCTTGGACAAGGATGCTGTGCCATCCAGTGTCCAGGCCTTTGTGTTTGGGCCTTGGCTCCATTAAACAGCACATTAGTTTTTATCTGTTATGAGGAGCAAAAGCGAAACTTTATTAAAAAACGAAAATCACTTGATTTGATAATAAAAGGGACAAAAGTATTCCCTAACCCGCTGGCTGCTGCTTGTTTCTGGGTGAAATTGGTCACAAAGAAGGTGCTGCAGTAGAAACTTCCTCATGACTTCTTTTGATCACCAGCAAATTACAGTCATTTTCATGGAAGATGCCGACTTGCGTGCTGACTTTTGTGTTGTGCTTTTGAAAACGTACCACCCGCTCTGCAGGCAGCGAGTGAGGGTTTGAGGACTCGTGGAACATTTTCCAAGTTTGGTGGGTGGTCAGCGAGTGTTTGCGGGCAAGTCGGTGTCTATCAGGTGTCACATAACCCTATGACAACCCACTGGATACCAAACAAATCACAGCAAGGTTTTTGGCGTAGCACCCTTTTATGTGGTATCACTGCCAGCAACCACTCATCAACCAGTTGGTGGAATACGTACTTTTCCCTGGCTAGTGGGCTGCCCACTGGTCTCCTGACCCTTTTTTTTTCTTTTTCTTTTTTTTTTTTTACCCCTAGCAACCTGTGGTTACCAGGAGGTTCCTGAGCAGTCTAGACTGAAGCCTATCAGCCATTTACTTGGTTCTTAAGCTTTTAGACTCCGTGGGCCTGATCCAGTCCAGCACCACCCAGAATCAACTTCAACCTCAGATCAGAATTACCTTTTATAACAGAAGATTTTCCCAAATCTGGGATAAATACGGTTTGGAAGACTGGTTTGCTTAGAAGAAAGACAAAGAACAGCAGGTTTCACTCAATTGTTGCTGTTGTTTTGGTCTCACATACAGCTATACACAGCCTATATTATTGTAACTGAACTGTAAAACTGTCCCTGTTATCGACTAAACAATCGCCACCCGAGTCCGATGGACCCCAATCCTCAACAGAAACCTGAGATGCTGGAAAGGGCTGATTAGGAGTCCGCTCCTGGGAATGAAGCGACAGCTACTTAAAGCCACTCTTGCAGGGTTATGAGGGAACAAGAGAGTTTCTGTTAGCATCAGTCAGTTCGATGGAGCTGGTAGGACTCATAGCAACAAAAAAGTCATCAGTCTGTAGATAAGAAACAAGCTAGAACCTTCACTGTCTCGAAACCATTGAAGCCTCTTCCTCCGTATCTGCCTGTCACACAGCAGCTCCTAAAGCTCTTTTTTGTAAAGATCCCCCATCATATGTTAATACCACCCTTGGGGACATTTAGGTATGATGAAGCCAGCGATGGTGGGTACTTCATTTCTGAAAGAAACGCAACGTTTTTACAACTTCTTTTCAGATCTCTGAGCAGTCAGCGCTGGTGTTTTGAATCCTCGATATGGATTTACTTTCTTCTTTCCCTTTGATCTTAAACTCTATTGACTGTCAAATCCATCGCTGAAACACCTAACACAGATATCATTATCTCCTCAGTTCAATACGACACACACCGCTTACTTATCTCCCTCCATCCCTGCTTTCTTCTTCTTTTTGCTGCCCTGCAGTGTTGTGTGATCTACTGAGGAAGCTTGTTCCGTTCATCTGTCGCTTCTTGGTTCAGTTTAATTCAGTGGTGCTTTACTGATGTGACGATTTCAGAAATAAAGAAATATAAACTCACCTGTGTTGACAAAGCGTTTTATCACAGGAGGGAAATCAGTGTTTAAAACTAGGTTCATTTCTCGATCTCCCTTCTGTCTCAATTCCCGTTCTTCTCTCTACTTCCAGTCTTCTTTCTGTCTCGGTATATTTTCCATCCTCTCCCTTTTTCTCTCTCATCTGCTAAGCTAGCAGGAAGAGTGCTTTCTGAATCTCTTGTGTCAGCACCACTGTCAGACCCACACACCGCTTCCTAACTAAATATTATTCCTCCGTTTTTTTCCCCTCTCCACCATCAGTTGCCTTACTTTCATCCTTTCTCCTTAGCAGCAGAGCAATCATTTGTTCTCATTCTTGTTTTAATTTTTGTTGCTGTTCTCCTGCCTTCATCTCTCCATCTTTCAATGAAAGATATTTTTTTAATAGTTTTAGCCATGCTGACCTTTTCCTCCTCTGAATATGCACCATCACATCTCCAGGTTCCCACCATCAGACCTGTGCTAAGCCATTAGCTGAATGAGTGCTGACATGAGAAGCTGTTAACGCAGCCACTTAGACGCAAACACTTCCACACCAGTGCAGGAAATTACCCTGTCATTTCCACCTATCAGAGACAAACTCAGTTAACTTTCCCACACAGAAGCACACACGCATGTTCCAAACTAATCACTGTTCACAGTCAGAGTGTGTACATGACGACTACAAACAGATAAATCAATCATCTGGAACAACTGCTGCAAGCTACCGAGTCAGGGATTAAAGGCTCGCTACTGAAGCTGCTACATGGCAAAGAAAAAAAGAGCGGTTTAGGTCGAGGATATCTGATTTAAACTATCTGCTTTTTTCCCCCCGTGTGGGTAAATGCTAAAAATAGGTCGGAAAGAATTCAATTAACAGAGAGGCTAGCAGTGAGATTGAGGTTCATATTAAGGAGGCCCAACTCAGCAATATTCTCAGATCAAAACTGTCCAGCTCGGCTTCATTAAAGTGGTCGAGCCATAAGTTGATGTATTTAAAGAGTAGGAAAAATTAGGTTGAAAGCAAGAGCCTGCTCTCATTAGAGTCAGGATTAAATGTCTTCTCACTGATACAGAAACTTTATAACGTTTGTTCCCAAACTTTCTTGTCTTGTCCTCCAGCGTGAACTTCACTCATTAACTTTTAGATGTTATTTTTCTTTTTTCAGCCTTACCATTGATAGTCCCCCGTCTCCTTTAGTAAGTTGGTAAATTCTGCCTGTCGAACTTTTTGTTGTTGCGTTGGAGCATAATACAGCTCACAGTGAGAACAGCTGCAGATTTCAATGGAAATGCAGTCATTTTTTGATATAGGTGGACAAGTTTAAGCAGACGTCTGCTATTAAAGAAGCTAGTTTGTCTGTTCGGGTTAGGTAAACATGGTATTCTTGGCAACCCAAAGTAAAACAATGCTCAGAGGAACTGCAAAAAAGGAACTACATCTCAGACTCTGCTGACCTCAGTTAACAAGTTCATGACAGCATGATCAGAAAAAGACTGAAGAAGTATTGCTTGTTTGGAACGGAGGCCAAACTGTGATTTTTCTCTCTAAAAATCACAGTTTGTAAATCAGAAACCACAAGACTTCTGGAATGTCCTTTGAACTGATGAGACCAAAGTGGAGATGTTTTGCTGCGCAGCACCATGTCTGAAAAATCCCAACAGCATATCAGCACAAGCACCTCATACCAACTGTCGGGCACGATAGAGGAGGGGTGATGAGAGGGGCTTTTTGCAGCCACATGACATGAGCACCTTGTAGTCACTGAGTCGACCATGGACTCCTCTGTATGCCAAAGTGTTCTAGAGTCAAATGTGAGGCCACCTGTCTGGCAGACATTCTGCAAACTGAATCAACGCTGTAAAGAAGAGCGGACTAAAAGTCCTCCACACTGATGTGAGAGACTCAAAGCCACACAGAAAATGATTACTTCATGTTATTGCTGATAAAGGCAGTTCTACAAGCTGCTGAATCACAGGGTATATTCAGTCCTGGGAAAACTTTCTTTTTCACATCTGTAACTGCAATCTAATTAGCATTTAGGACAAGTAAGCTACCATGAACGACTTAGTTTGATTACAAAAAGGCTCTCTGTGTATCACCAGTAAGCGTGTTCAGTAAACAAAGGGCTCTTTGCCAACATTGCTAGACTGTTTACATCAAATGTATTCTTTCCCACATCCAGTGAACAGTGGGATAGAGGGGTTAACAGCGTGTAGGGCGTAGTAGCATCCAGGACACTTAAGCTAACATTAAACGTGTGTGGTAGCGTGGTTCCAGAAAGACTTAAGGATTTGTAGCTACAATGAAGGATAACTTTAACATCTCCAGAGGTAGCTGTCGGTGAGAAATACTACACCATATTCTTGATACAGTAACCCTACGAAATGCAATTTGGCTAGTAAAATGTTGATTACTACTGTAGCTGAGCTGTGCAGCTCACATTACAGCAGGCAAACAGAGTGATATATATGTAGCCTTTTGCTCCTTGTCTCTTTATTGACTTGGCATATGGAGAAATCCAAAGCTTGACAGGCCTTCTGTGCCTAGTTACAGTTTTCTAATCTGTAATTGAACAGTTGCTGTTGAGGGAAAAGGTTCATCAGCGGTCAAGTCTGCCACTCGGTTAAATTAAATATGAAGTGCTTGATCTTGCTTTTTGCTCAGTCTTTCTGCCTGCCTGTATGCCGTTATTAGCAGCCATTCCTATTAAAAATGCAGTTTTTCTGCACACCCATCTCACTCGCTTGTTTACCTTGATTTCTTCTTCAGGTTTTGATGCTCTCGGAGACCTGTTAAAGCCTACAGTTCCCACACACACCGCACCTCCTCCACCTCCCCCTCAAGTGGCCATCCATCATGGAGGAAAGCTGCTAGCCAACGACCTCGACTCGTCTCTGGCCAACCTCGTGGGCAGTGAGTGTTGAGATTCATGTGAATAGACCAGCAAAGACGAGAGAAAAACTGGGTTACATAACGTGGCACATGCAATGCCTGGCCTTGAATACGTGCCTGCAATGTACTCTCAGACTCTTAAGGACATATTAAAGTTTACTGTTGCTTGTACATAGAAGTGAGCCTGCATATTCCTCTTTAACTTCATGTGTTTGGTTGGAATTTGTTATTTCTTTGTGGAAACTTGAACCTCTTTTCATGAGGGGAAAAAAACAGCATCTGAGGCTGAAATTCCTTCCTGCCTCCCTTTTCATTGTACTCTCTTAACTGCGATCACTCACTTTCTGTGTTTCCAACTCTCCACAGATCTGCAGTTTGGTGGGACCCCAGCCAAAAAGTAAGTTTTGCTGAGTCGTGATGGTGCCTTTCCTGAATTGTGCCTGTAGTCTCTGCAAAAGCAAATATACGATTTTAAGCTGTTCTTGGTCAGGAAACTGTCAGCACAAATCTCAGAAAGCAAATTTATTATGAACTGCTTAATATGCACACACATCTGTGGCCTATTGAATTAGACTTTAAAGATTTGAAAAACGTAAATAGCAAATTATGTGATAACTAAACCTGAGATTAAACAGCTGAATCCATTTGACTTCCACAGGCCAGATATGCAGTGGAACCAACCGGGAGAGAAGAAGCTGACGGGCGGCCAGAACTGGCAAAATAAGACCATGTCGACCACACAGTGGAGCCCAGCACCCATGGCCCCACAGCCCATGCCTGTACCACATGTGGTAAGGAGACCAACACATGCACAAATACCCAGCTGCTATAAAGAATTGTGCAACCTCAACATTTTGCCCAAAGGCGTCCATCGAGGTGTCTGTAAGTCCTGGAAGTCTTGGATAATTTTGGTTTATCACAAAAACAAATCTTATCTTCTCATTTGGCATTTTTGGCATCATTCCTGTTTAGTGCTTTACTTTAGATTAACCAAGTTAACTAGCTCAGATTTTGAGAACAACGTCACAAGATGTCCACAACAGCTACAAACTGGACCCAGTTGGGCAGACTGGAGGGAAACAAAGCTGCAAGTTTGGAAAAGAAAGCAAAAAACAAAATGAAAGTAAAGCTCACTGGTTACTTTGTTAGGTCTTGCTAGTTCTGAGTTACTTTTCCCTTCAGAGTTGCTTAATTCAGTAAAATGTTATCTAAATATCCATGATGTTGATCTTCCGTTCTGCCACGTCTCAAAGGGGCTCTCCTGAGTTGAGATCTGGTGACTGTGGAGTCAAGGAATCAGTTTGAGATGATGATTTGAGACATGGTTTGTTATCCTGCTGGAAGCAGCCATCAGAAGATAGTACACTGTGATCATAAGGGGATGGACGTGGACAGCAACAATACTCACTACGATCAGAGCATCTGCCTGCCTAAGGGGCCCAAAGCGTGCCAACAAAATATCCCCCACAGCGAGTTATTGTCTTTGATAATCTTACAAATCTGTTGCTTTAATATCCGGTCTCATCATGTTTCTTATCCTCAATGACTTTAATTGCTGCCAGCTTTCATAAATGATGCCCCAAGCTACGAAAATGAGACTTGAGTTGTGATAAACCAAAGTTATTGTTAAAGTCACGAAAAAAAATTCATGGGAAAGACCCTTTATTGTTGTTTGATGCACGGCATTTTGGGAAATGCGGTTGGTCGATGAGAAGATGCCACAGTCAAAGCTCTGCTAGCAGTTTTCTTTGCTTAGGTCAGCTCGTTAAAATAATGTAAAAGAAGTATGATTTTTTTATTTTTTTTAACCTCCAACACTAAGTATAATTTCTAAACTGAAAATCATGAAGTGGCTTATTCAGTTAATTCAATTAAATTTTATTTATACACCACCATATCACAACAACTGTCGCCTCAAGGCGCTTTAAGGTTTAAGTTAGACCCTGCAATAATACTAACAGAGAAAAACCCAACAATCACATGACCCCCTATGAGCAAGCACTTTGGCGACAGTGGGAAGGAAAAACTCCCTTTTAACAGGAAGACTTGAGACAAACAGCTGAGACCAGAAACCTAGACAGAAAGTGTTTACTGAGGTAATAAAGCAGTTAGACACAGCGGTAGTTTTCATTTAGATTTCCATAGAACTGAATAACTTCTGGCAACCTGAGTAGTCGCCCCCTGCTGACCAATCTCAGAAATGCTGGTTTAAGCTTAAATTGTCAGACCTCAAAGTTACACCTCCGGAAACCCATTTTACCTCTGCACCACATCCTTCTACATAAATGTAACTACACGTCGGGTCAACGCATACCACAAGACTTGATTGGCGTGGAAGGTTGCTTTGTGGGGGAAAGAGTTGTTTCTGGTTAATTCGTTAAGTTAGGATGTAGATTTCCTGCAAAAGTTAAAATCACGCTTTAGGACACTTTGCATCCACCGTATTGGTGACTTTGACCACCGCCACTGACATCATCGCCAGATGTCACCGTACACTCATGTCTTCAACCCGGCTGTGGCAGCCCAACATCCCATGTTACACAAATCAAACCAGCAGAAACTAATCTATTTCGTTGACCAGTAATTCCCGTCATCGTTTTCAGTTTTTTTCCCCTGACATAAACGAGACGACAGCTAAATAAAATCTAATGCAGGGCGACAAAAACTGATGAAATGTATTGACAACTTCTGAAAACAAGATCCAACCAAAACTTATCCTGCCTTTCTACGTAGCATGAGTCTGGAAGCAAACCAATCAGTAATCTCCTTGTGCAGTAAGATGTTCACATTTGATCTGCGCTGATGAACAGGGTGGGGTCGTACAGCCACAGGGGCTCTTTCCAGATCCAACACATCCACGTCCTCACTGCGAGGGCATGTAGCATCTTCTCATTTCACTCTGTGCCCGAAAGTTCCCAAAATGTCAGTGTAATAATTTGGCCTCCTTTCATGTTTCTGCCAGTGCTGGAGACAAAATCAGTTTAAATATTTAGGTTGGCTTCTCACAAACATACAGCGTGATGCCGAGCTGACTGGAACTTGCAAACACTTTGTAGGACATGCATCTAATCTAAAACTGTGGCACTTCTCACACCGAGCGCTGTGAAAATATCTGTGCATGTCTGTGCGGTGTCTTTGTTGTATCAGCTCGGTACATTTTATAGCTGTGTGTGTGTGTGGTTATTTGTGTGCGTTTGCTGATCCTGGCAGCTCCTGATTGTCATCCTGATCTCTTGACTGCAGTTTCTGGCTGACGTGGACAAACTGTCACTAACCCTCCTCTTCCCCTCTTTCTCTCATTTTCTCCTCCTGTTGATCTTTCCCTTTCTTCCTTTCTTCCCTCGCTGTCCGCTTCACCTCTGCTGTCATTCCCTCTAATTTCTCCTTCCTGTCCCGCTCATCCTCCTCGTCCGCTCGTTTTGCACCGTCATCCACTCGTCTTCCTTCCCTCGTTGGCTCGTGTTCTGCTTTATCACGACTCTTGTTATTTTTTGTTTTTTGTTGCGTTGTCATCTTCTCGTCCTGTTTTCTTCGCCCTGCCTTTGACATCTGCACGTTTGCACCGCGACCCCTCATTCTTTTATTATTTTCTGCTTGTTTCCTGTGCTTCTAATCTTTCACTCTCGTTTTTCCTCCTCCTTACTTTCTCCTCATCTTTACCTCACTCTACCGGTTTTGCCACCCTCTTTCATCATCTCCCGCTCATTTTCCCCCACTTTTTCCCATCTCATCACCTTGCCTCCTCTCCCTCCTCCTCCTCTCTTGTCTTTCTCTGTTTTTTGTCCCTTTTCCTCGTTGCGTCCTGATGCAGAATGGAATGTTCTATACTAGTTATGTAAGTACTTATCTCTGTTTAACGAGCTGCTCAGACACGTCCTCTCCCGGGTATCTTTCTCTTCATCTCTTTCCCTGTCACCTCTTCTTTCACTTGCATTCCCCGGAGACGCTTATTTAAAAAAAAATAGAGAAAAAAAGGAAGTTCATTCTGTTCTTGCACCATTATCATAAATAACCTTCTCACCTCTGTGATAAAAAGTAATAGTCTGCGCTGCTTATGTAAGCAAATTGATGTGAGGAAGTTAGAACAAGGCGCTCCTTCTCCCTACTAAAACCTAAGAGCGCCATTCTTCTGGGTGTCTTTTAAAAGATCCACGTCTAATTTATTTGTCAGCCGTTCATCGGGTTATTATCCACATTTTTCTCCCCCCTCAATCAACAAATCCCATGAAACGGAAACAAAACGGCAAACCGAGCCACTCTGAGGCGCTTCAGAAGTCTGTTATCTCTGTGGCTGAAATGGCGACGTTATCTTGGTATGAAAGGAAAAACTTCATGTGCAGCAGAGGTCCGGTCCAGGATGCACAGATCAAAGTATCGCAATGAAGGATTTAACAACAAGTTACTAAATGGTTGCAAACAGCCACAGAGAGTCAGCTCTACCGGGTTTTTTTCTCTAATATAAACAACACTTTTCAGTTATTAACATCGATCTGTGTATCAATTTGGTCTCATTTGTTGCTTTTAATGACCCTCAGGCCTGATTTAGACCTAGAGGTAGAGGTTGTGGCGTAACCTTTTCTTTTCACGTCTTTGCTTTCATGGGTAAACAGACTGCAGTGAACAGGATTTATGAAAAGGTTGTACATTATATAAAGAAATGGCCTGTTTTGCAAGCATACTTTCAGATACTTGCTACCTGCCATTTTCATAAGTGTTGAAGCTTTTTCTGATGATAAATTAATCATACTGCATCAAAATAATTAATAAATGACAGAAAAGTGCCTGTTTTTTCTGCTCTAAAAGTTTTTTTTCATCAGGCAAAATTTAAGAAAATTAAATAAGAAATTTTCCTAAATTCATAAAATGTTGTTTTAATGAGCTTACAGAAGATTCTGTCATTTTAGATATTTTTTTCACAAGTTAGTCCCAGAGTGTTTCTTTCATTTACTACAGCAGTGTTTCTTTGTCATGTAGAGATTTGCTGTTGCATTTAGACGACTTCTTATATCCAGATGTCTCAGGGATTCAGTGTGTAGTTAAATGTTAATAAACTACACTGACAGAAAGAGGAGTTTCTTTGGTTCAGCTTTGAGATCGAAATGGGAGCAGTATGTGTTTGCCATCGCTACTTTACAGGTCGTTTACCTCTTATTGGCTGCTCTTGCAAACAGAAAGCTTAAGGTATATCCCACATCACTGACATAATACAGAGTTAAGAATCAAACACAAAACAAAACTAGAATATACTATAATAGCTCCTCTTAACTCTTGCCCCCCATACAGTCGGCATCTGACAACCTGCTCTGTACCCTTAAAGACTAGCTTTGACACCTCAGTATATCTCAGTTAATACTTGGTTTAATGATCATTAGAGTAGTTGAAAAATAACAAAGAGCCTCTTAGTCGACTTTCAAGGGGTAAAGAGTTTAAACACCCTGCAACAGAGCAGCAAAATCCAGCTGAAATGAGTCCCTGATGCACCAAGAAACATCTTTTTTTTTTTTGTTTTTTTTTTAAGAGATGTGCAGGAAAAAAACGTGTTGAAGTAATTCTCAAACCAGCTAATTCTTAAGGTGTTATATTATTTCAGCCTTTAACTCCCACTGACAAGCCAGCAAGAACAGAAATTGCCTATGGGGATTAATTCAGCAGCACAATAATAGGAAAAGAGGTGATGGGTCCCTGAGCAGAACAAACTAAAACAAACTTTTCACCTCTTACACGGTACGACACAGAAATTCTGCATGGTTCAGTCAGCACGACAGAAACATCAGCTTTAACCAAACAAAGCTCAGAGAGAGAATATTAATAAAACTGCTCATTACTGTCCCCGAGAATGAAAATACACAGTCTGTGACTCCAGCGCAGCTGAGATGACCTCCCATAATCCATGAGACAATAAATAAATCATAGCAGAACTGCATGAGACATCACAGGTAACACGAGTAAGCAGCTCGTCACGCTTCACGCATGATAATCGAAACTCCCACGTCTGAGATTCTCAACAGAAGGGCAAGGTTGTAACTGTCTGTGCTGGTTGGATATTCAAAAACGCCATCAAAAAGCATTTTCCCTTTGCTTTTCTTTTTTTTTTACTGTGACTGAGACTGCAGGCCACTCAAGGTCAGAAGTCTGAGTTTGCATTAGAAAGCACAGAAAGAAGAAAGTTGCTTGTGCCGAGGAGATGGCAGAGGGAGCAGCAGAAGTTCAGCTGTGAAAGCTGAAACTTGGGATGAAAGATGCAGAGAAAAGACAGCTTTCTTTTTTTTTTTTTATTTAATGCGCAGATAGGCAGGGAGACACGCTGGTGAAGGATAGAACAGCAGGCGGGAGATTGAGCATAAAAAGACGGATACAAACTCATGGATGTGTCACACGATGCACCGAGGAGCTGTCGGCGGCGTAAAGATAGATGGACAAAAACACCGGTTGAGAATCTGCAGCGGTGCATCGACACGTCTCACCTTCTCTGCTTTGTCTTGGGTTTCTTTTTGTTTTTCTGTTGTTTTTTAAAGAAGTAGGGAATAAAAATGATGCTCGCCGTCATTTTTGCACAAGCAGCCGTGAAGACAGACAGGAAGCAGAGATGGATGGTTTGCAAATTAATGAGCGATTCGGGTGCAGATGACGGTAAAGTCAATTTCATCTTTAATCAGGGTTCAAATGCTAAAACCACAAACCCACTGAGCAATTGCTGAACGCACAATAAGATGGATAAATTAAAGCGTCTTTTTTTTTATCTGAATTGGCTTCTTTTCGTACAACTTGTAGTTCACTTTGATTAATGCTTTTGAGCAACTGTCACAACTCGCTCTACAAAGGCGAGAACTTACTTGCGATTGATTATCTCCTGAGGGCGGTGCGCAGGTTCACCTTATCTGGCTTTTCTCCTGAGGGCGTCTTAACCAGAGTATACACTGAGCGAGGTCTTTGCGCTTTGTGAGAGATCTTCAAAGTTGGTCATTTTGAGGGTCTTGCCATCGAACGTGGAAAATCACCACAGAGAGGTCTTAAATGTTTTTTGCAAGGATCTTTTACCTCACATCCACATTTAAGTCCTGGCAATGACACTGCAGGGCTGAGACTGCGGTTCTGAAAGTGGCAGCCATCGCTCAGAAAGCTGTTTGACGCTGGAAAAATAACAGACGGACAATTAAAGTAGCAGAAGGCTGGCTAGCTTACTTGTTATCTTCACCAAGGAAATTGTGTTTTTATTTGTTAACATATATAGAAAGATTTAAAATAGTCTCACATTTGACCTTTGACCTCCCCTTCAAGTTCAATAGATTGGCGTGAAAGGTCAAAATGATAATGATGGTATATAGAGCTATTTGTTTCTGACTGCTGTTGTTTGTACCGGCAATATATTGGCATACAGGGAACGATGGGGATTCTAAATACTGTGTTACTTTTGACCTTCGACCTCTTCAAGGTCAAATCAGGTCAAGCTTTTTTAAAATGTCTTGTCTTTAAAACTTTGCGTAAAAAATCTTGCTGCCTTTGTTTGTATTGGCAACATTTAGAAAATGACACTGTTGTAAAAGTCACATTATAGTTTGCATCCAAATATCAGGACAGGTTTGACCTCTGACCTTTTTTTCCTCTTCAAATGTTTTATATCTTTAAATTGCGTGAGCTGCCCGGTTAGTTAGAAATATACTGCAGTATTACCTGTAAACACAAACTGATATTACTGTTAATACTGCGACCCACCTCCAGTACTTTCACAGCCCACCAGGGGGCCTTGGCCCACACTTTGGGAATCCCTGCTCAATCCCCATACACACCATTAAAAGTTAGTGAGCTGACTGCTCTGTAACCATCTGTGCAGAAGCTTCTCACTCGTGGTTCAGGTGGAAAAGGTCAGGTAGGCGTGCTCTTCACTGGGACCACCCATCTTCTTCCTTTTATAAATCACTTTAAATCTTCAGTGTTCAGATGCAGTTTTCTGAGTATTTTAAATGACTTCGGCTCAGTTTTCATAAGTTTTAAAAAGTCAAAAGCTCGCATAGCGCGCACAATCAAATCAGATCGAGTGAGGTGATAAATCATCCTGTGGAGCAGTCACATTAGTTTGACTTAAAATTAAATAGGCACATCAGATGTTCTCATTTCATCAAGATAATGCAAGTAGGGGAAAAACTCAATTTTACCTGGAGCCACTTTTTTTTTTTTTTTTTTTTTTTTAAATGATGAGCAAGAATATCTTTAACTTCAGCCAAAGACAGCGCGTGAGGCACATTAGAAATAATAGAAACTGAAAGATATTCCTTCTCTGAGTCAAATCTGAGCTCTCTGATTTTATGCACGGGCTGTTAAACTCAGTGTGTCACACTGACTTGTACTTACTGTTCATTATCTTAATATCTGTCATAAAAGACAAATAAATCAACTCGTGAACACGCCTGACGGTTATGTGTCACATTTTTTTCAGATGTGTCAAATTAATCCAGAGATTCTCCACATCTGTGGGAACTTTTCACGCATGAAACTGTCTGTTTGCAAAGAGCAGCGCGTCACAAAAGAGAAAGTTAGACAGGCCATGAAAGGAGAGGTAGCAAAAACAGACACAAAAAAAATCATGCAAAGCTACGCTGGAGTCCGAGAGTCAACGTGCCTCATTTGAAATAACCACAGCAGGTCCTTTTTATGGTGTCGGTGCATAAATAACAATTAAATGATGATGCTGGGGTGGTTGTGTTTTTGCCAATAACAAAACTAAACCCACAAGTGCACTCACTTAATTCATGTAGCTCATCATTTTACGTAAGCCTGCTATGACTTTCCCATGCAGCTAATTGCTGTGTTTAATGGAAATATTTTACCGGTCTCTCTCAGCAGTTTGATTGAGGCTTTGTAATTGTGTTAAAAATGCCGCGGTTGTCTCATTTACGATGATGGATTAGGTCTGTGAAGGCAGCTGTTTTTAATGGGTTTTTGCAAACAGTGGGGGTGAGCGGGTGCTGACCTGCAGCAGAGCAGGCAGTCACGGCTTGTGATGAGGAGAGTGCAAACGCTATAAGGTGTTCCCAAAACCCAGTGAGGTGCTTCCTGGTTGTGTTTGACAGACATCAAAGTCGTATGGGCTCTGTCAGTAACTCATCTGTTGATATTAATACTCCTCTACTGTTGTGCAAGAGGCACGCCGCCCTGCACCTGCCCATATCATCTTGTAAACTGACTTCCATCCAGGATATTCGCCGACACGATACCGCAATGTACCGCAGACGCTCGCGCCCATAAATTACCAATTTGTCAAGCAGAAGTCGGGCGGCGGCGACGCAGACACACGTGGGTTGTAAACGATGGCTACAAATTGCCCGTCACATCGAATTTGAAGCCTGTTCAGCTGTAGTGGATTTGATTTGCAAAGTGAGCAGGGCAGGGCCAATCACTGTGCTATTGAGCCACCCCTTTTTAAAGCAGTGGTAATGATTGCACTCAGTGGGAATCCACTAAGTACCCCTACTGCATGCTGCGTTATTGTGCTCCTAATGTGCACATACTTGAGCATTAAATGTACTCTCCTTGCACATAAAGTAGGCTTTATTGTGAGGTTTTTATTTTATTTTATTTTTTGAAGGCTTGAAGCCGTATGTGACAAAAGCCATGAAATGTTTGAGTCAGGTGCTTTTGTTCTGATAGTTGACACCTGTTTTCTGTTTTTCTGCCAGGCTCCAGCTCCCATGGCTTTCCCCATGACCACACCGCAAGTGCCTGTGTATGGAATGGTAAGCATGCACATATTAACATATTCCCACACATGCCTGGGGGGGCACTGTCGTAGATTTATATGGAGACTAGAGCTGCAAGTCTGTATTTGTATTATTAATTAAACTGTGTGTTTTCAAATGTAGCATAACTAGCGTGGACACCCAAGTTTGAGAGCAAGGGGACCAATGTTCACATTGGACAGAGAAGACAAGAGGAGTAAATGAGTCCATCTATGTGCGCTGTGAACGACCACCATTGAACCGAGGGGGTGGCCTATGACAGTCTGCCACCTACCATCTAGTTTTGAGATCCCTTCCCAGGTGCCTGAACCCCCACTCACAACTTGGGTTATGTGACCTCAGTGGGTCACATGATAGGATGGGGCAAGGTCTCACAGTGGTTTCACCTGAAACCTCTGCTGATAATGACCCATTCCCTCTTTCACAGCTTGGCACATGTGATGAGACACATGTTTAACCCTTTAAAACCGGTCGGAGCGGGCACGCTCCATTTTGCATAACTATTTTAAAATCCCTGTAGAACCGGAACCACGTTAAGCTAGCACAATAATTTTTTTGGCATATGAAACCGGAGTTGTTGTACTTACATCTTATGCCATCAGTTTGTCCTAGGTCACGGTTTCCTTCCACATATAGCTTTGCAAAATTTGCATAAAAAGCACTTGCAGCAACAAAAACATAATATTCCAGAAACACGCTTTGCTGATCCGATCAACTGTTCATAACACTTTCTACGTTGGAATAGACGTCAGCGCGAACTATCGTATGCCTACCTGCCCAAAATCAGAAGTGACATTTTTGCGGAAAATGTAGTTTTTTACCTTCAGGGCCTTATAAGCCTGTACTGGTGTTTTTAAAAGTCACATTTGGCTTTGTGCTTTTCTGTATTGTTTCTGGGATGCTTAGAACTTAAATTGCACTGCTGGAAATAGTTTATTTTGATGCACCTGCTGTTTTCTTTGTAAATTTGCATTGTAATATTTATTTTCATTTTTCCTGCAGTATATAAAAAATTGGTGTATCTCAAAAATAAAACTATGAAGACACTCAAAATAAATTTCCTTTTGTTAGAAACTATTTTGTGCAACTTTTTTGTATTTACAGTTTTGAGGGATAAGCCTCTTAAATTTCTCTAACTAGAAATATATGTTAAAAAATTTAAAAAAGCGATTTTCAATTTTCTGTAGTTTATTGCACTTTTTTGCAATTTATATAGTTATTATAGACTTAATGCATAGATATTATCAAAATTTGGGCTATAACGGTTATATTGATGTATAGCAACTTCCAAAAATGGCACTACAGCATGTAAAATTATAAAGATAACTCTCGCGGACTTGGTTCTATGGTAGGTCTTAATGGGTTCATAGTGGGTCAACTCCCAGGAGGGTTTAAATGCCTGGGACTTGCCACCTTCTGGTTTTAGACCTAAAGAAGCTTATTGGATGAGACGTGAAACATCTGCACGAAATTTAAAGAACTCCAGTCACCTTATTTTCCTTACAAGGCGCCAGTATGTTCAGCTGCTGAAGACTGTCCCACTACCTAGAGTGTAATGTTTGGCACACTTCACCTGTAAAACAAAAGGAGTTTCACCCTCAGATTAAACACAATGAGCTTGAAAACAGACTTTGTTGGGTGATGAAATCATTTTTAAAATGATTGCTCCGTGCTTAGCCACCGCTGAGCGGCTGGTTGTCTTGTTTCCATTACTGCGTATAACAAAATATTTTTTTAAAACCTTATGTCTTTCTTTCTTTAATTTTTACTTTGCAAACATCTCTCTGCATCTTACCTTTGTCCAGGTTCCTCCCCAGATGGGTCAGATGGGTGGGGTACCTGTGATGGCTCCTCAGCCAATGATGTACAACCAGCCTGTTCTAAGACCCACTAACCCCTTCGCACCCATGCCCGGAGCCCAGGTAACTCTCATACATTTTTAACATCTTAACAGCTGATTACTTTTAGGAAATTAAATGACGGGATTGAAAATGTTGGACTCAAAGTCACCCTGACCTTAATAATTTGGCGAGGCTCGGTGTGTTTGTTTGGCAGTGTGTTAGCAGGATTACTCAGAAAGTTTTGAATGAATTTGCATGCAAATTTTTCGAAACTTGAGGCTTGAACCAACTTAGAGAAGATTAACTGCTAATAACAGAGCTGCTCTTATTATGATTACAACATCAGTTTAAATTCTCACGTTCTTTGTGGGTGGCAAAACAGGAAGTTCATGCAACAACATGCTCTTACCAAGATTTCTGTTTTGATCAGTGACACTTTATCAGTTATGAGGTTTTATGAGTTGGTTGTGGATTTTGGGTTTTGTTTTTTGGGGGGTGGTTTTAGAACCAGTTATCAGCCCCTGGTGTCCATTAAAAAGACATTAAAATGAAAATTTTAAGAATTTAAAATTCCTCGTTGGCCTCACTGTACACGACCAGGAGCTCCATCCATTTTATGCCTCTTTCCACTGGTACCTACTTGGCTTTACTTGAATCAACTGTGTTTCAGTTGTTTTCCATTATAATTGAGTACCAGCTCAATATGTGTTGGGTCGTTATAGCAACGCTTCCGCAAGTCTATGACATTTATAAGCGTCGCAATCATAACGCAACAATGGAGGACGTCGAGGTGATGGTGTTGATGGTCTATGGCTTTTTGTCAGACTCGACACCACGATTCTGGTTTTTGTGGAGCCATTTGAGTCCTTGCAGAGCTTCAAAAATGGCAGTTTTTGTTTTCAATCTCGCTACTGAGTGACCAATCGATGACATGCAGTCTGTTGACCTCACATTTTCAGACTGGAACCTCGGCCCATCAGGTACTAAAAAGTAACAGCTACTACCACGTAATTGAAAATCGTAAAAGTCGAGTCGAGCTGAGAAGGTACGAGTAGAAAAGAGGCATATTTTCTGTGAAAATGGGCACCTCGTGGGCACAACACCAGATTTAAGGTCAACATTAAAGAGGTGACTCCAGGATGCTGGATGGCTAGAAATTTGCAACACGACTGTAAAAGGGAAACACTGAAATAGAAAGACAAGCACAGGTAGTTTGTGAAAAATAGTGAAAAAAAAAAGGTTTGTTTTTCCCCTGATTCCTTAAAGAAAATCCTCCCAACCTGTGACACAGATGTGTCGTCTTGAGTCACCCACAGAAAACCTGAGAGTGGCAGACTGGTTGAAAACAAAACCAGCAGTACATAAATAACATTTGGCACACAAAGTCATCTCAAAAGCAACAAATGCATAAAAGACAGGGTAAAGAATGATCACCAGGTCAACTGTGTTTTCATCTGATAGCTTTTAAGAGGGCCGGGGAAGTTCAATTATTCAGCAATTTTTAGAAATGCTGGTATTTTTCATAGAAGTTTGTTTGTATTGTTTTTTTATCTCGTTTTATCTTGCCATTTTTCCTCACCCTCAGTTTTTTTTTGTGTAATTTCCCATTGAGAAATTCTTTACTGCGGTCAGAGCAGAGTGTCAGAGGGCTTCTCTGTGATCAAAACAAACCGTTTCTCCTATCATGTTCTCTCTCTTTGTCTGTTTAGATGCAGTTTATGTAATCCAGTCAGGAGGGGAAGCAGAGTGCCAAAAGCAACATACATACAAACAAACAAACAAACAGCATAAACAAACACAAGAGGATGATGATGAGATGGACGGAAGGATGATTTGCTCAAGCTGAAACGACAGACTGACACAAGATAACCGGGCTGACACCAAAAGTCAAGTTGGAAAGAGGAAGAGAAGATGACGAAAAGGATGGACTGAGCGATGGCAGGGGTTCGATGGGGAAGATGTTATCCTGGCTGGTCGTTGTCTGAAACAACTCTTTGCACCTGTGTGTGTGTGTGTGTGTGTGTAGCTTCTCTCTGTTTATTGTCTGATTTGTGTTCCTATCGATGGAGTGATGTTTCAGGAGAGGGAATAAGGACGAGAGAGAACGACGGGGAGGAGGGAAGAGGGGATTCAGGAAATCCTACCTCTAGTTTTCAGTCAGGCTAAATGTGTCTGACTGCTGTGAGAGTCTCTGCTGCAGAATTAGCTTTATTTCATACTGGTGCTATTTTGTCCTCTGTGGGTCACTGCTCGCCTGCAACGGCAACTTTGGAGCACTTACGAGAAGACAAGTGTTTGTTTTATTGTGTGTGTGTGTGTGTGTGTGTGTGTGTGTGTGTGTGTGTGTGTGTGTGTGTGTGTGTGTGTGTGCGTGTGTGCTCAGCAGTTGTTTCAGACAATACCTTTGCCACGGACCTCCTCTCCATCCCCACCCTCGCTCCCTGTCTGCGTCCACAACCGTCCACTTAGCAAGAGATTTAGTGGCAAATCCTCTTCGGTGTGTTTCCTGTAATTTTCCGCTTTGTTGGGATATATTTGTATTTTTCTGTCAGTTTTTCTTCGCCAACTTCTCCTGAATGTTATCGGGGCTTGTACAGCGATTTGTTGAAGCATTTGTTAATAGTAATTGAGCGTTTGTTGTTAAGGGTTTTGAGCTAAAGTCTTTGTTACTCATACAGCATTGTTTTTCTCCACGTAATGCTACAGATACACACAGAAAGATGGGAGCTAGCAGGCACAGCATGCTAGCACTGTATGAAATTATGTTTTAAGGCCTAGTCACACCAGAAAGTGACACAGCAAAACTAAGCTAATAGCAGTTAGATAGTAATTTGGTAGTTTGGGATTTTTTTTGTTATCCTTTGTTTTTCTAGTGGGTAGTTTATTTTTTCTAAAAATTATTATAGAAATTTAGTTGAATAAATTAAATACATTGATTAAAGAGATCTGTTAGACAGTAAACTAAAGGTTTACTGAAAATACAGCTGTAGTATTTTGAAGTTTTCACTCTAAGAAACGGTAAGGAAAGGAATTGTGCACGTAGCTAATAAGTTACAACAGCATGAGGTTGGCCTATGTTAAACTTATCCAGAGCTGCACCATTAGCAATTTTCCTTAAGTCACTAAGCAGTGCTGTTTTCAAACGAAAACTCCCATTACTACATACAAAAATAAAAGATCATCCAGGGCATCAGGAGACTGGACGCTTGTTTCTACCACAGACAAAATGTAACAGCTGCCCAAAAGAGACTAAATTCTGGGCTATCTCAAAATTTTGAATTGCGTATATTGTAGTTTCGAGATGCATTACTCAAAATGTTGAGTTATTAAGACAAATTTTAATCATGGTCGCTGTTTGCAACATCCTTGAATTTTGAAGGACAACTTTGAAGAAATTATATCCGTGGTTTGTTGACTTTGGAATAAAGGTGCAGCTGCTGTGATGGGCCAATGGAGAGGAGCAGTCTTACACCTGAGTTTGACTTTTACAAGTTAGACCCTGAAGTCAAAGATGCTCCAAAAAAATGGCTCAAAGTTATTTATTGACTCTCAAACTTGTTGTTGAGCTCAATAAAGGGTAGTCCAAAATGTAGAACTTTAAGGGCATCGGAACGAAGGAGGCCAGACTTCCTTCAGGTTTTTGAAAGGGTTAGCGCTAAGTTTAGTTATTCCATAAATGTTAGACAGCAGTACAGGAATAAAAGCTCTAACAGGCTTCAGAAGAACCACCCTTCTCCCCCAAACACATCCTGGTGGCAACAGTTTTCTATCAAAGATCACAACAGTTAAACTTGATTTTAAAAAATTAGCAGACATTTGCTGTGTCAAACGTTGGTGTGACGAGACCTCCAACTGTACATTGTGTTCAACTTGGTGGTCAGTTTAGGAATAGGTAAAGTGTATTTTTGTTTAATCTCTCACTGTTAATTAGCATTGTTAGCCTGTGGTTTGTTGACTTTCTGCCTCAGTTGGATCTATCTGTGTGTATCTGTTTTTCCTGTCTTCTTCATCAGCTCATCAACCAGTCTTTAAGGATTTGAGCTTTGTTTCATTAGGTACAACTTTTTGGCAGATCCACAGTATGCGCCAGTGATCGATGACAGCGGCACAGAGTGAGTTAAATGTTACTGAATCAAGTTGAATTCACTTTTAATTGCACTGAATCAAAGTGAGTGGCTGTAAGTGCGACACTGAACCTGTGGCGTCTCCCTCGCTCAGTGGTTCCAAGAATCTGTGGGGATCAAATTTGACTCTTCAGCTCAGCCAAAGCATCCATCCCCATGAGTTTGACTGTGGGTGTATTTATGCATAACGACTTCTCGTGTGTCCACGTGTATCCTTACACATTTATGTGTACGTATTTTCTTTTCTTCATCGAGGGCTATTTCTGAGGGTCAAATTTAAAGCCAGACTTGATCCGATATGTTTAACACAAAATGGGCTTGATTTGTTTTTATAAAGTCAAATTTTGTTGCAAAAATGCACATGCAAAAATGTTGCACTCAAGTGGCTATCCTGCCGTAGCAGAGCTGTTGTTTTTGGGGGTTTTGTTTCTTTCCGGTATGAAAAAGTTGAGGAAGATTTGAAGTGTGTAGAAGTAGTTTAGGGTTTTACAACATAATAGGTTTGTCAAATCTACCAGCCACTTTGGCGGGAGACTCAAGGTTACTCTCCTGCCATTCTAACAATTAACTTGAAGCTTTTTTAGTACCATTCCCGATCTCAGTCCAGCATCTCCATCCCAGCCATCAGTGGTTGTCCAGTATCAAACTCATCGCCCACTCTGCTGTGAAGTCTCTACAATCTCGCTTCAGCCTGTCTGGTCCAGTTGGTCTTTCTCTAGGATGCTTCTTTAGCCTGTTTGTCACTGTTGGTATGTGTAGATATGTGTAAGTAAAAAAATAGCTATAATAACCAGTTTCTGTCTAGATTGTCCACTCATCCCTGTCGCTGTTGGATAGATGCTGCTTCTAGAAGCTTCCTGTTGCAGTCTTGTGTTAGCTTAGCCTCTCTTCATAGTATCCCCTGAAACCTGTGGAAGACCTCCCACAGCAGGTTTTCCCACCCCGTCCTCTTCTCCGCCAGTAACTGTAGCTCTATTATCTCTCTTGATGTCTCAGTCTTTTAGCAGTAGATTAAACCTCTCACCGGCTCTCAGGCTTTGTAGTTCTCGAGCTTTTCCTTAACATCTCTGCAGTGTTTGGTAGGTGAGGTCCTCATCTTTTTTTCCCCTCCATCTCCAATCATATTTGCCAGTCATGATGTCAGCAGCCTACAGAGTGTCTCCGGTTGGACCTCGACGGCGAATCACACGACGCTTGAATATCCAGGTGTTTTGTTACAAGTGGGCGAGCTGAAATGGTGCTTTTCTAGAACTAGTGAAGTATGTAGTCCAAGAAGTGTTGGAACTTAGATGTCAGCTGTGACTGGGAGGTTTGTCAGTCAACCAGCTGTTGTTCAGGGGCACTTAGGAAAATTATGGAAAGTAGTGAGTCCACTGATCACTGGGACAGTTGATCGAGATATTAGCTCTCTTCCCTGTTAGTTTTATTATAGCTCTGCGGAGAGGCACCGAAATGTCTTTGCAAACCTACGCAGAGAAGGATGTCATTCGTACCCAGTGGTTGAGCACACCTCTTAAATCTCAACGACGTAGTAACTGCCACAAGTGATCTTCGAGCAGAACACAGGAAACTTAATCTGTTTGTTTTTTTTTTTATTGGTTTTTTACGCCAGTGAATTCCTCGTTTCTGTCTTGGATTTCGTCGTTTGTTCGTGCTTGCCCACTGCGTGTAAATCTGTTTTCGAGATGTGGCATATTGGCCTTTTTGCACAACAGTCAAAGAAAAACGTGCTTATGTTTGCCGGCTTGCAGGCTGGAGAGACGTACCTCAAGCTTATCTACGGCTTCTAACAAATACGACTATGCAGAATCTTTAGGTCTTTGCTGCCGTAAGCTTTCTGGTTTCAACTTGTAGTACAAGTTCTGTTTTCCAATCTCCTTTGAGCTTTGGTTGCGCGCAGGTCTGTAGAGAACAACAGCAGGATTCATCCAGATATCTTGGCTGCACTCTAAGCCTGCGAACAGTAGCAGCTGGACCTGGAGTTCTTAAATAGTCGATAAATTCTGTGATTGGATGTTCCTGATGCTCCCTGTGTCCTAAATATGGACTCTTTGGATCTTCTCCATCTTCAAAACTTCCCCTCCTCTGGGCCACCTGTGTTTTTGAGTCCCAGCTTTAAAAAGAAAACTATTTTGTTAATGGATGTGTCCTTTTTTTGGCACCAATATGAGACCGTTTTTATATTCTAGGACAGCTGCCTTACTGTCTCTAATCTTATGTGATAAATTGACACTTCACAAATAAAAGCTGCTTGATTTGCGTGGCACTGATCCAGGATCAGGTCATCATAGCCCTGGATGATAAAGTAATAAATCACATGAGGTCTAACTGCAGATCTGATGATTGATAACAAGTTTGTAATAGTCTCATTAGGCTTTGAAATGAAGAAGGGTAAAATGAGAGCCAGGACGTGGAGGTGAAATCAGGTTAACTGTTTGCTTTAATGTAATCTTTGCAGTCTTTGCGTTTCTTTTGTTATTTTTGTTCTACTTTCTCTGAGTGGAACCTACTGCTGCCAGTTGGGATCAGGTTATTCGACTGGTTTTAAAATGTTCCGATGTCGAAAGATTGAGTGGGTTCAGAAAAAATGGCCGCGGTGGTTTTTCCGTTGCTGGCTCGCCACCTTTAGCGTCAGTGCAACTTGCCAATAGTTTTTACGGCTTTATCACATAAGGTGTGGCCAAGCATGCGGGCCTTATTCAGTGCTTCACCTTCCCTCAAATTCAGACTCTTTCTCACATTTACAGCTGAGACTTTCCCGCCTCGACCGCTGTTTTCTGCTGTTAGCCTGCTGGGATCAGTCCTGGGGAACCTCGTGGCCACGTTGCAAAGTTTCTTTCAACTTTAAAAAAAGAAGGAAAAAAAAGCTGCTGCCGCCTGTCTGCATTGTTGTAGCATGAATCTAAGTGGAGGAGGATACATGGATAAACCTTGATGTCATATTAAAACGTCTGCTGAGGTGTTGAGCGAGCGGACTCCTCTCTGGCGAGCCATCTCTCTTTTTCTCGGGGAGTGCATGGTTGTGTTGTTGGTGTTTCTTGTCCCCCCCTCCCCACACACACACACACCCTTGCAAAGGATTTTTTAAGAAAGCATGATATGACAGTCGCAGCGGTGGTGCTCATGATAAATTCCCTCCTGTTGTTGTTGTCGTTGCTGCTTTAAACGGCCCCAACAGCGCGAAGGGGCGGATGGATTATCTGAGCGCAAGGGCAGGTTCATCGCTTTGTCTGGACTGACAGATGTTTGGCCGCTGTAACCACCCGGTTGAACTTGTCCCAGAGATCTCACATTAGTTGCTTGGTTTGCGGCGTCCCCTGTGGGTCGCAGCAGAGTCAACCCCCCTGCCGCCATCCCCCCAAGAAAAGGAAGACGAGCAAAAAGAGAGAGGCTGTTCGATGGTAAATCCCCCCATTTTTGTGTCGGTGAGTCGGTGTGTCGAGTCGATGATCTCTTGTGCACGTTCTGTTTTTTCTACATCTGTTTTTTGGTAAGAACCCTCGGATTGCTGCCTCACTATACTGTATATAGAGAAATGCACACCTTCACACTCACAACACAGCTTAAAGACATACTCATAATCTGCATTATTTTCATTTACTCTTTATTTTTCTGAACTTGAAAGATATTAGCGTTCTTACAGCAGTATATAGGTATGATTGCTACTCGGTGGGGGCAGGCTGAACAGACAGACGATGCAGAAATCTTTGGAGGGCTGCAGACCTGCCCCGTACTTCAGGATCAGCCATGAGTTTCACAATGATGCCAAATGTTTTCCGGAGCAGAGTACAGCTTTTAATCTCTGATTCCTCTTCTGTCTCCCCCCCCCATCTCTTTCTTTGTACATGTTTTCTATTTATTTAAAGCAGAAATATATGGATTGTATCAAGCATGGAAAGGCAAACAGATGTTACAGTTGACAAAAACACAAAAAAAATCACAGGCTTTTATTTTACAGCAGTATATTTGTTTATTCTAGGGACTTGTTTTCTCTCTCTATTTTTTTTTTTTTTTTTTGAAAGAAATAAAAAGTCATTTTCATTCCTAAGCGAGTGTTTTTGTGATCTTTTAACTCAAACAGTCGAAAAGTCTATAAACTCTGAAAATATTCACCATTCAAGGTCTCCGAGTGTCAAACGGCTCAGCTTCTGATTTTTAATTGCGCCACCCCGAGGGCTTGAGAATGTGTTTTCTTAATTGCGCAACTTTTTTTTCTTTTTTTTAAGTGAGATTTTTAAACAGTCCACTAAATATTTCAGCAGTTTTTCTACCAGCAGCGATCTTCTTAAATTTGATCGAGACTGGCAGATTCGGCGGTCGCTTTTTGAGCGTGTTTATTTGAAGAAAATGGGCTGTTTGTCGTTAATCAAAGGCACACATTAAAATCTTACATCTGCCTCCAGCTGCAGGCTTGAACCGTCAACATTCGTTGCTGATGCAGGAGAGTTACTGTGCACTCACCACATCTAAGGGCTTTAAATCAGGGGATGTGGATATAAGATCAGATCCTGTCACATTAAATGTATTATCCAAATTAACTGCGAATAATTTTTTGGCACAGATGCAGCGCAAAATATGCTACACGTCACTGATAAAATGTACATTTTCTGTACTGTGTAAAAGTCCTGAGCCAGCCCTCATTTGCACGCTTGAGTTGTGTGCACAGAAAACATGCACAACTCAAGAGATGAAGCAGTGTTTTGTCTGCACATGACACGACTTGGCAAATAACACATTTGTTAAAAGCACCCTGTCATAAGAATGCATCATTTGTCCCAATTTCTTCAGTTAAATCTATAAAAATGTCAAAGACAGCACAATCTGACACACATAAAACAGTATTTCTGCACCAACAAAGTGATTTCCAAACAGCTGTTAGCTGCATGGTGTGCAGGTGGCTGTGAAGAATACTTAAAAGTACCATCAGATTTTGATCGACCATAAAAATTTCCACTATCTGGAAATCATTTGATTGCCTTTATTTTTCAGCATGACAATGATCCCAAAGACACTGGCAGTGCAGTAAAAACACAAAGTGGAACACTATCAGTCATGGATTGGCCTCCCCAGTGCCCGGACCTCATCATTACTGCAGCGGTTTGGGATCATCTTGAAGAGATAAGGGGGGGAAACAGACAAACTTTGTGAACATGTGGTTATTATTCCTCCACCGGGTCAGGTTTACTCCAAAAGTGAGTAAATTACAGCAGAAATAAACATGCTTACAGTGTCTGTAGTTATGCACAGGTTAAAACGTGTAACATTTAAACTGAATTAAGTCTTAAACTTATACATGATTAAACTGCATTCCTGCTGCTAACAGTCACTCAATCATGTTTTTTGCCCTTTTCATGTGTTTGTGGTCAGTATGGCCTGCTGTCTGGATAACTTTACCAGCACCCTGTGCAGAAAACCCAGTGTTTCCCTTCAAGTATGAGATGGGTAAAAAAACACAGCCTATAAACGCTGGGGGACGTCAGAGTGGGTTTATTAAGTGTCAGTAAATGAACTGTTAGTTTGAGCCACATGATCACCTTTAAAAGATGTTTATCCTCTTCTTTGTTCTACACCGCTGAATCCTGCTAACCAGCCACAATGCAGTTAAACCTTCTGTTTTCAGCCTGCAGCATCCTCGCGTCACTGCGTATCTGCAATGCATTCGTTTAAACTCTTCCCTTTAGTTCACATTGCCTCCTCAGCATTCTTTTATTATGTACCCAACTCCTCTGAGAAAACATTTACCACACCGTATAAATGTCATTTACGACAATGAACGCCTTCATTATTCTGGTAAATCTACGTTTATGCTTAAAGCTCACTGAAAAGATGCAAACAAACTTGAGTAAAGCCTCAAAAGATCCCCACACCGTGGGAAACCTCCAGCCTCTGCTCCTCTCCAGTTCCTATAGTTGTTGTTTTTTTTGTTTACGTCTGATTACAGTCTATACCTCTAATCTCTTCTTGTTGCTACACGTTAGCGTGAAACGCCTCTGATTTGCTCCGCCATTGTCTGCCATGATATCAACGCTCCCACAGCGAGGGATTTGGCAACGTGTTCCCACCTCCCGACTCCCGCTGAGCCCTGAATAATGAAAGCGTTTGTACACATTTGTTCCACAATCACATCGAGGGCTGCTCGCTGATGCTGCCGCTGATACACTGGGTCATATTTCAGGGTTTTTTGTTTTTTCTTATTCCTGATTCTTTGTAGGAAATAAATCACTTAAAAAGTCCTGTGCCTGACAAACAGCAGTGTTTTGTCTCGAGTGAATAATTTATTGTCGCCTGGAGTCGCTGGCAGTTTGTCTCAGTGTGCCCGGGATGAAAGATATTTTAGGAGCAAACTACAAAAGGCCGGCATATAAATAAATGCCTTTCTGCACCGTGTTAGCCTGAGCTGAATTAACTGTCCTGTCAGGGAGATGTGAGAGCAGGCTGTGCTGCCACACGGATGCAGTTAGGTCCATAAGTATCAGGACAGTTTGTTGTAGTCGGGATGTGATTGAAGTGCCGACTTTAATTAAAGTCATTGTACAAACAAACTCATTTTAAACACAAGGATTGTTTTTAATAGTTGGATGAAAATCTTTTGCAATCAATCACAGCCCGAACTCTAAAACTCGGGAACATCGACAGATGCTGCATTTCCTCCACTGAGATGATCTAACAGACCTTTAACTGCTGGTTGGTTGTGGGTCTCTCCGCCTGTGGTTAGTAACTAAAAAGCTGCTCTGTTGGTTGGAGAGCAGGTGACTGATTTGGAGTAGTTTTCTTTCTTTATCTTGAGAAACTCATGAGTTGCTTGAGTGAGGTGTGCAGAGACTTCATCCCTGCTGCTTCTGTCAGCAGTCACATCGTCACTGAGTACTCAAGACCTGCTTTTACTGGCTCGCATATGTGCCAATGCCATAACAACACCTCCACCATGTTTGACGGGTGATGTGGTGCACTGGAAACAAGTTTGTTTCATCTGTCTGGACTTCCTGTTCCTGAGTGTAACCAGTGGTTTGCACTTTGTTGTAAATCCTCTGCACTTCCATTCATGATGGCATCTCTTGATATCTTTAGCACGTTAAAAAAAAAAAACCCAGTTTCAAAATGTTATACGAATGAAAGCCCACTATAAGTTCGCCTAAATCGCTGTGCTTTGGTCTTGTAGTCTTGTGGAGGTACAAATATACACAAAAGAAGTGGCATGGTGCTGGGACACACTGGGATTAAGTATTCCCTTCCTATGGCTTCGTGTCACATGAGTTTAGGGGTCCCTGAACTAGGCGGGCTCCAAAGTGTTGTGGACAATCTTCCCTGAAGACCAGTTATTAACTCAATGTCACATGTGGAACACAATCACCTTAAAAGCGCTGAGGAAGTTTCAGCACAGGGTGGAATTAAAATGTCTGTCAGCGTCTCGAGCACTGGTTTGCCGTCTCTGCAGTGGATCCAGCGCACAGAGTGACAGGAAATCCAGGAGTTGTCAGTCCTATTGTGGCTGCTGCCGGGCCGCGGCAGGCCTGTTTGTGACAGCCGACACTCACCGGGAGGAATGTCAGCCCCCACCCCCAGATAAGTTTTGACAGCTGTAAATTGCGAGAGGGGCGTGGGGGTAGGAGGGAGGTGAGATGCTATTTTTATCTTTCATTCAGCCAGGCCTGAACCAGAGAGAGACGGAGACCCCCCTCTCTATCTCTCACTTCTCCACAAGGCGACGAGTCCTTCTGGATCTCTCCTTTCTGCCTGGCTGGAGAAACTTCTGGAGACCCGACCGAGGCATTAAGACCTGGAGACACGGCCGGTGTGAAGGAACATATCTAAACGCAAGCGAACGAGTGCAGACTGTACAGTGAAGAAGAAGACATCGCAGTCCACGAGGCCAACATGGCTCTGCTGTGCTACAACAAAGGCTGTGGGCAGAAGTTTGACCCCGACAAGAACAAGGATGGTAAGATCCTCCTGCATGTGTCTGCTCCTTTACTTTAAACCTGCGACTCCGAGTCATCCTGTTATCAAAGACCTGGAGCTGAAGTGGAAGAAAACTGGGTGTGAGATGACACTTGTAGGTTGTCCGAAGAAACAGAATTTCCTTCATGATGATGATGACGTCTAAATTTTCAGCCACCTTTAAAAGGAGCTCTGCACTTTTATTTTGAAAGGGAGCACCCATGAATAGTTTTACTTTAATGTAATGTTTTGGGACTCGATTCAAATTCAGATTGTGTGCACTAAACATGAACAGTGTGTGAACCTGTGATCGTGACAGATTGACTGATCACGCGCTGGTTTGCGTGACATCAAGTAGAAGTTGTGTCCGTGTGAGAGAGACGGTCTAGTCTGAGACAGCGTGGCTGAGAGAGACGGCCATCTTCCTTCCTTATAAGGGACACACGGCACCTCCACACTGCAGTGACCCTGTGAGCAGCTGGGGTCTCAGTGAGTGTCTATATGCAGACTCATGTTGTCTTTATCTCCACTCTAAAAGATTCCTGCCTCTTCCACCCGGGAGCCCCCGTCTTCCACGATGCACTGAAGGTAAACTCTCCTCTTAGAGTCTGACTCGAGTGGGAGAATAAAACTCAACACTAATCACATGTTTGCTTGTTTGTGTCTCCAGGGCTGGTCCTGCTGTAGGAAAAGGACGACAGACTTCTCTGAGTTTCTCTCCATCAAGGTAATACAAGCTCAGGGTCCACGCTCCAGAAGTGTTTGTCATGGTGAAAGTACCAAAAAAACAGGGAATAAATTAGGAGAAAACATGGAGCTCTTTTGATGAATGTTTAATCAGGTGGCAGCAAAAGCAGTGGAGTGAAACCTAATGAGAGTTAGTGTCGGGCATTTCCAACATTTATTTTAAACCAACTAAAACCCCAGTGTTGTAATGAAGTATGATACTTTTTCAACCATTAAAATGAGCTTAATCATGCAGGACGGAGAGGTTAGCTCTGAATGATGAGTGAAGGCTTAATTAGCGGGAAATCTATGTTTGTTTTATGTTGAAAATTTGCTGCCCAGTTATCAGGATGTTTCATCTTCAGCCCAGGACATGCAGATGGCATTTAAAGATGAAGAGCGTACACAAAGATGTAAAAACCAATATGGGAGGTTGATTTAGCCACTGAAAAAGGTAAATACATAAAATAAATACACAAATAATTCTTCCAGACAGAGCGAAGACTGAACTTTTATTTGCTGGTAATAGTTGCATGTACACAATATATTTAATTGGTCTTTAACGTATGGGAGCTCGTGTCTGCCCCTCAAAGTTTTGCGCACCGCAAGTTACAATTTCAGGTTATCTCAAAATATCGACTTATCTCAAAATTTCAAGTTAGTTTGGTTAATTACCTGAATCTTTTACATTTTTGTGACAGAAACAATCAATGAAAACAAAAACGTGAGTACAAAAATATTGTGTACCTTCTTTCAGCTGTTACCAAATACTTACACACTCTGTATCAGTATCATCAGTTCTGCACTGTAAGAGCAAAAAAGTACATTTTGCATGTTTGATGTTTTTCTGCCAAGATGAGCGAGGTTGGAGTCACTGGTGTGAGCTTAAATGACTTGTATTTAACAAAGCAACAAACTAATAAGAACCGAAAAACTGAAGCTGTCACAGGAGCGCGAAAGGTATCATCAGGTATGTGGGATCTGGAATCTCATCCAGAGCTTCGTTACCTGAGCATGACTGAAGTGACCCGTGTGGTTTTGAACGCAGGGCTGTACCCGCGGGCGCCACAGCGACGTGAAACCCCAGGAGCCTCTGAGGCCCGAGGTGTCGTCGGATAAGGGCGAGATTAAACACGCCGAAGGCCGAGAGATAATCTATCAGGGCCCCAAATCTGCAGAGATGCTGCAGAAGGAGAGACCCAGGTGTGTGTTTGAGATCTGCAGTCAGCTCTCATTTATATCAGCATCCACCTTTTTCTGATGCGCGTGTGATCGCTGGAGTTTGTCACGTTGTGTGTTTGTCCCTGTTTGCTTTATCTGTGCAGCGAAGTCATGGGGGGGGGGGGGAGGTCACGGGGGTCACCGTGAGGTTACGGCTGGAATAAATTATTCACTGCGTAACTCTTGTGTGTCAGTCTGCTCATGCTTGTGTATGTGTGTGTTCATTTCTCTGCGCGTGCACAGTTCAGACGAGCCCATGACCAAACTTCCCCAGAAGGTGTCGGCGTCGCTGGCTCAGGCGCTGGAGAAACTGGACATCAGCAAGAGAGGAGAGAACGAGAAGAAAGGTACACAAACGCTCACCGTTTAAAAGAATCACAACAAACGTTTACTCCAGGGGTGGGCAACTCCAGGCCTCACAGGCCGGTGTCCTGCAGGTTTTAGATGTGTCCTTCATCCAACACAATTGATTTAGGCTACATTACCTCCTCAACATGTCTTGAAGTTCTCCAGAGGCCTGGAATCTGAAGCCTAGACTGTCCCATTTCACAGCCTCGAACTTCCGGCCCTCTAATGTGTAATGTGTGTAATGTGTATGTGTTAGTGCCCATAGGGAAATTACTCCTCTGCAGAGGGAGCAGTGTGTAGGGATGGTACCTTGCTCAGGGGTACCTCAGGGTAGCCGTGCAGTGGATTTGAACCACCGACCTTCCGATCATGCGGCAACAACTCTACCTACTGAGCTAGCGCTGCGTGGGCCGGTCTTTGAAGGGCCCAGCCCACGTAGACAGAAAAGGCCGGGTCCAAGTCACACCGGCCCTTGAGGCCTGGAGTTCCCCACCCCTGGTTTACAGTGTTGTTTCTTCAGGGGTGGTACAGAGAAATGAAACTTTAACTTTTTGAACTCTGATAGAGCAGCTTTGCATGATTCACAGTTCAAAATAATCCCTGTGCTTCCTGCTTTGAGCCAACCTCCTTCACAAACAGAAGGGGTGGGCGGGGCTTCTGAAGCTATGTTAGGGATGTCCGTGCTGACTGATGTGATACAGACCCATAAGCAGTCTGAAGTCTGACCTTTTTTCTGAGCTCAGTACTTAAATGTACACCTCGTTATCGCTGGGTTGCCTTCACAGCTTCTTTAACTCTTCCTGGAACAGATTCGACAAGCTGCTGGAAACATCTCAGAGACTTTGGTCCATATTAACTTGACAGCAGCAGATAGTTGGCGTGGTCTTCTGCTTCGAGGTTCAGCGTGTTGTGCGTTCAGAGATGCTCTTCTGCATAGTTTGCTTGTGACGAGTGTGGTTATTTGAGTCGACTGATCTTTCTGCTCAGGTGTCAACAAGACATTTTCTCCCTGTGAATTGCTTTTCCCAGGATTTTCTCTTTCACATCATTCTCTCTAAACTCTAGAGATGTTAGTGTGGGAAAAACCTCAAAGTCACTTAAATAAACTTTCTTCAAAACAATCAGCTCTGCATTGAGACTTTTCTGAAATCGGGTGCGTAAATCTTTAAACGAGGCAAAGTAAGCGAGGCGCCGCAGTCAAATCGATATCTGTGAAAGACGAGTCGACGTGTATTGGAAACAGTTTGAAATATTGATGCTACACTAGCAGGTGTTTCTCATTTAGGGAAAAGTAAACTTTTCAGATTCAATTAAAGTCAGAATGAGCCGGTAAGGCGGGTTTATCGTGGATCCAGGAGTGCACGTGTCTCACTCTTACTCCAGATCAGAGTGATACAATGAAAAAATATCAGGAATGCAGTCTCTCACCGCCCTCCACCACCTCAGCAGCAGCTGTGTAAGCTTCACGTCAAATGACAAGTGTAGTTTTTTTCTAAGTATGTGCTGCACACTTCCAGTTTTATCGCACGTTTCTGAAAAAGAGGGGAAAAAATGTCTGCACACTGAGAATAATTTGATCTCAGTACAGCACAAATCAATACATCAAAGCTGCGTGCACTCTCACTGCTCTGTTAGAATAAAACTTGGACTTGTTAGTGTCTTATCTCTGTTTTTGTTTTTTCCAACAGAGAGTCAGGCTGTTATTTGCGGGACCCGCTGCAAAAACGCAGGATGCAAAACAGTGAGTGTCTTTTTGTCATTTGTGTGATTTAATGCCTGAATCTGAGCTTATCAGTCCTTTCAGACTGTGGCACCACGGTTGGGGAATTCTCTCCCACTGTCTCTTCGCTGCACGGACTCCACTGATTCTTTTAAGAAACAGCTGAAGACATTTTTATTTAGAAAAGCATTTGATTAATTTCTTCTTATGCTGTTTTTATAGTTTTATTGTTTTACATTGTTTTATTTACTGTTGTATTGTTTTTATATTTCCATTTCCTGTGTTGTAAAGCACTTTGTGATTTTCATCTGTGAAAAGCGCTATATAAATAAATTTTACTTACTTACTACTTAAAGCTGAGACTTAACAACTTTTAAAAGACTCACACTAAAGTAGTCATCATAATACACACATGTGGCAGCTTTCTTAACCATTTATTACACGACATAGTGGAGCGGCGTTGGAGCTTTGTAATAACTTGACCCGGCCCCCGCAGATGCACCCAGGCAGTAACGCAGCCTCACTGATGCGCTTTCGTTTGAGTTCAGGCCATCAAGCCTCTGCTTCAGCCTCTGTAAAGTTTATTAAGGGCGCCATCTAGTGCACAAAGCAGGCAACAACACATATCAGCTGGTACTAACTGTAGCAGCTCTTTGTTTCCTCAAATGTAGAGAAAACACACAAAAGTAAAGCCTCCAAACAGTTGACTGACTTTTCATATTTACTAGAACTCTATGAAAAATGCTGCTTCCTTATAACTACAGTATGCTACAGGTATCGGGGGCGCTGTTTGCCCAGTGATTGCTTTTTCGTTTTTAATGGACTAGTGAATGCAAGGCTTCTACCTACTTTAATGTTTTCTTTTCTTTTTGCAGCATAAAAATATAAGGATATATGGGATTGCTACTGTACTCCTGAGCACAAAACTATAAATACTCTGCTTGAAAATAATTGTGCGTCAAGACGATGATAAAAGTGCAATAAGACGGAGTCGGTCTGTAATCAGTTATCAGGTTGGCAATTACATGCAACCTGTTTGTGATAATCAGGCAATTAACTGTGATAAATGAGTGAAAATGGCTAATTTGTTGCCATCTGCATACACAGAAATTCACACTTGAATCCAGAGTGTGGACAGAACCTCACAGATCTGAAACACAAATTTGTAAATAGCTGCAGCAGGATGGAGATTTAACTGCCAGATGACATCGGTGCTTGGCAGTCTTGACCGTAAACTGGAATATAACCAGTTGGCAGCCAGCTGAATCCAGTCACCTACTGCAGAAAGACCACTCAGACTGATGGCAACATGCTGGTGATCTGTCTGCATTTATAAATTGGATGGTAGTTATTCGTAAACCTTAACCAGTCTCTCTGAGCGTGATTGCAAGTGTTTGGAGACTGGTTACCTTCCACCACTTGACTTGTGATCAAAAGTGTTTACCCAGGGGTTGAGAGTGCAACATCACTATCAGTCACCAAAGATGGAGGCAGTGAGTGGAGAAACTGAGAATTGAGTGGTGACACACACATCGCTTCTGTGTTTTCACATCATTTTGACCTTTAACCCTCTTAAATACAGTAAAACATCACAGTTCACAAACCACACCAAGCTTTCACGTTCACAGGTGATTTTTTTTTTTTAAGTCTTTAGTTTTACTTTCAAATTATTTTTGGATTTTAAACCCATTCAAATTCAAATTTTATTTGTCACGTACACAGTCATGCACAGTACGATATGCAGTGAAATGCTTACACAACTGCTCGTGACCTAAAGAAAAAAGAAAAGGCTATGAATGAGAGGAAATAAATATGAAAATTAAAAAGGGTAAATTTAAATAGGAAGGAATAAAATAAAATATATAAATTAAAGTTGAAAATAAAATAACTGTACAACAAAATACACAAATACACAGTATAGAAATATATATAAGAATGTATAAGAAATATAAATATATATACACAATAACAGCAGCTGTACAAGTATTAAATGGAAATGAAGAAATATACTGTCCAGTGTTGTACAATCCACATTTGTAATTCAGTTTGATCACATGATCGAACCTTAATTAATATTTAATAAGTGTTAATTTAAATAAGTCCTGAACTAAAAACTACACTGGTGCCACCTTCGACATAGAAGGCAATGATATAGAAATGATCATGAACTTTAACCTGCTAGGATCAATAAAACGTATGAGCCACATCAAGGCAACGATGAAATCATCGGATAATATCTTAGAAATCTAAGGACAAGAAAAGAAGGCTTACGTACAGTTTGATTTCCTTCATGGTCACCTATAGTTGAACTATAAGAAAACAGCGCAGTCACTAAATCATCAGTATTTTTGAGATGTGGTGAGAAGACTGAGTTTATAAATTTAGGAGGACCAACAGACCAGTCTTGAATGAAATCGAGCCAACAACATCACTGAAAGGACAGAAATCGAAGCTACTACTCGCCTACTTTGATTGTCATAAGGCAGATGAAGATTTCCTTGTGTACTCATTTTTATTTAGTCACCGTTTTGTTGTTTGTATCACTATACTGTTTTCCTCCAAAAACAAAAAAGGTTGTTGATGAAATGAACTCTGTTCCTGAAGTTCTTCCCATCAAAGGACTGAGGATAGGATTGATGTTTATTTATGAAGGTACTATGATTCACGAACGAACTGATGACCTTAACTTTAATTGCTTTATATTTAACAAACAGTGCTGACATAAAAGGGAGCTATCCTTTCACTTCACCCTTCAAGGTCTTTGCCTTTACAATTAAATATGGCTGAACGCCGCTTATTGGACAGAAAATATGACATCGCCCTGTTAAAAATGGAAGAAAAACTTAATCTTTTATGCCTAAATCTTTAATATTATCAAACGTCCCCATAACTGATCCGATGGTCTTTGCATTGTGTGCTATGTTTCTGTGTTTAGGTCTACCAAGGACCACAGACCGACATGGAGGTCTGCACCCACCATCCTGGAGCTCCCGTCTTCCACGAGGGGTAAGAACAAAAACTCTACCCTGCCACTTGTTTACTGGAGATTTTTTCTTTTTTAACAAAAACAAGTCTAATCCACTGTAACAAAACCGTAATTACATTCTTTATTTGCATAGCTCGTATCAAAAACAACAATTAGCTGACTTCTACAAAGGAGGGACGCAAACAAAACAAAACTGAAGGCCGTGTACGCAAAGCAAGAAACATAAACACGTCGAGATAAGAGAGTTAATTAAAGATTGGTAATTAAAGCAAATCTGCAACATTACAAACAGACTTTAAGAGTAAATAAACTGCAAGCGCTGCTTTTAAATCACATTAAGTGTAACGCTGGGCTTCCTACTGCTGGGGAGCTTCCTAACAAAACCTGAATTAGTCTCATTTCATGGGGATCACGTAGGGTTGTTGTTGTCTCCAGGATGACACGGCTTGTTTCTTACAAACTGTGACCATTTCTTTGTATTTTCTTTTTTTGTTGTTGTTTAGGTACAAGTACTGGAGTTGCTGCTGCATCAAGACAACAGACTTCAACGCCTTCCTGGACCAGAAGGGCTGCACCATGGGGAAACACCGCTGGGTCCCAAAGCAGGTACATGCACCACCTGGAGAATGTACTAGAGAAACTGCTGGTGGGACACCGGGGATCGGATCAAAGTTTGCAGAGAAAAAGGAAAACAGATCCCAAGGGCTGACAACAACATCAAAAAAAGCTTTAAAGTGACCTATTTTTGCGTGCACAGTTCACTTGTTCGTCCTTTTGATCACTATAAAACAAAGACTTGAGTGGGAAGATTTATCTGTGAGTGCAGACAAAAAACAAGTCAAACTTCAAGTCAAACAAATCATGTTTACCACAAATTCAAATGTCCTTGAAGAGCGCTAAAGCAATCCAACCACTCAAGCCAGGGCAGGAATAAAAAGGTTTCTTTCTTTCATTGGGATGTTTTGATTTAGATTTGATAACTATGATTATCAGCCTTCGAGTCGCTCCTCGGTCTCGCAGCAGTCTGGCTGTGCAGCTCACCGGTGTGTGTGGGTTCACGTGTGTGTTTGCAGGACAAGAAGAAGGTGGCGTGTCGCTATGACTGGCATCAGACTGGCAACAGCGTCGTCGTGACCATTTACGCCAAGAACGCAAACCCAGAGTTTTCCAGCATAGAGGCCAACCGGACGGTGGTGAGTTTAATGAAACAGACAACGCACAGCGTATGTGGTTGGATCTAGTATGACTTTGCAATGAGACAACCTCATTAATAAGCAGCTTATTCTAATAATTTGTGGTTTAATTAACTGTTAACAAATCAGGATTCAGCACAGTAACAGGTGTTAATGAGATTTAGCTCAACTTCCTGTTGAGGTCCAAAAATGAGTCATTTATGACAATCCTGTAACACTTTCTGAGATTGTAGTGATTTTTAAGAGGGTCTATGATGCACATGTAGATAATTTATCAACCACAATAAGATGGCAATGTGTATGTTGTGTATTAGAGTGACTGCATTTATGTAACAGGTTTTACTAAATTACTTTTGTACATCAGCGCTTTAACGTCCGTAGGTCAAAGAGATGCGTCATAGAAAAGTTGCACTCATTAACAGACTGACTCACATTCACTGCAAACTGTCACCAATCTGTCTGCGAGTGAACGCAGCCACCCTCAGCATCACCATGACAACTTGATTGCTGCAACTTCTTGAAGTCCTTCATTGTTAGCAAAAGAAATTTGATTGGTCCTTGTATGCTGCACAGTGGCAGCCTGGTGACTGTATGAGCTCAATCGCCAGTTTCAGGTCATACTGAGCATACATGAAGTTAACTTTGCTAATAATAAATAAAAAAACAAAAATATTAGCAACACCGTAGCAACCAGAGAGCATCGAAAGTCAATGAAACTCAGCGACATGTGGCGACATAGGGTGAAATAACCATTACCGATAAACTTCTCTCAGGCGACCAAAGTGACCACGAAGGGGTTCTCGGGAGAGTAGTGTAAACGTGCATTGACCGACTGTGAGCAAAAAAGCGATGTCCAATAACTGAACTGTTAGATGTGGACAGGGTTGTACTCTACCTTTGATTACGGAAGTCGAAACCATAGAAAAGGACAGACAAGCCAAGCGTCTTCAAGCTTTTTACTAATTTTACTAAGAAGTGCTATTTTAATTTTATACCCAGTAGCCTACTAATAATCATGGTCTAACTCAAGATTTTTTTTCATTAACAGATTTGTATATTTAGCCATTTATGCAATAAGACCTACACCGTTTCTCTGTCTTCTGTCCTCTCTTTAGCTCTCGTGTCAAATCCAGTTTGAGAACAATAAGATTTTCAAGAAAGAGTTCCACCTCTGGGGGGTAAGTATCTGCTGTCTGCTGGGAATCGCCTTTCCCACTTACACTTGGAACATTTGAGCTCATGTTCAAAGATCAGTGAATGGACTGAGGTTTGAGGATGGTGAGCACACAAAGCGCCCGACTCTTGTTTGGCAGGTTTTGCTGGCTGTGGTTGGAAAAAAGTATTTAGGAGAGAAAGAGGTAGATAAAGACTTTGTGTCCGACTAACTACGCTGGATGGACCTTTCCTCAGCAGTGGAGTGCTGTGAACACCTAAACATAATCTGAAGTTTAGAAATAAGTAAATCAGTTGCAACTAGATTTTCTTAAAAATATAACCGTGATCATAATCATTAGCTTATCCCGTGGTTAGTTAGTTATCAGTTCACACGTTTCTGATGAACACATTTAAACTAGATTGCGCTTGAATGTTGTCCATCCAAAGTTTGAATTTCTCTTACCTGCAGGTGATCAACGTAAAGCACAGCTCGGTCAATATGGTCCCATCTAAACTGGAGATAAACCTCCGCAAGGCCGACCAAGTGGCTTGGGGCAAACTGGAGGACCCGAACTACAAACCTGAGCCCGAGCCCGCAGACGACCCGTTCATCGAATCCAACGAGTCGTACCAGCCCGACTGGGACATCGATGATGACGACATCAGTGACTCGGACGAGGAGTGGGCCTATGACACGCCCAAGAATAAAAAGGCAGAGAAGGACGAAAATCAAAAGAAGAACGAGGAGGAGGAGAGGCAGAAGTTAAAGAGGAAGGAGGTGGAGGAGGAGATGAAGAGGGCATTGGAGGAGCGGATGAAGGCGGAGGAGGAGAGGAAGAAGCTAGAAGAGCAGAGGAGGCAGGAGGAAGAGGAAGGATATGAAGACATGCCAGAGCTAGAGTGAGAAACGTCAGATTTCTTTGTGGTTTAGAAATAGAAAATCAAAAGAGATTTTTATAACATAGGACATATTTACTTCTGAAATAATAATTACTCACTACAAACCCCAATGAGACGTGTTTAAATGACCACGATATGGAAAACATGATGTAAAGACAAAACTGTACCTTCAATAGAAGAAATAAAGTTTTCTATGTCAGTTTCTACTTTTACATTTGTGGGGGGTGTTGTTTCATTTTGTATGTGTACCGACTGGTAGCATTTCACCACTGTTGGCTACATTCATTACAGATTAAATAGCTGGATCAATGTTATAAAGACTTGATATCCATCACAAGTCCCCTGGGCTTTAAGCAGAAAGATTAATGATTTTTTTTCAAAAGCCTGTAATGAATAATTAGCTAATCCACTGGTGCTGTAAATAAAACAGTTTAGGTCAGACTTTAGTTCATGAGTCATACTTAAATTGTATTTCCACACTTTGTTTTCATTATTATAAGCCTATTGTACATCTGTGAGAGCAGCCTACACAGTATTACTCACCGACTGGCTTTACTACAGCCAAACAAAGAACATACAGCATGTGGGCTAATTGTTTAGAGCAAGCGTGGCTAGTAAACAAGGCGAGAAAATATCAGGGGTAGTTTTGTGAGTGAAAATGCCTCCTTGATGCGGGAGTTTGTTGGAGAAGTCCCAGAAGTCGGAGTTACTTCTGTCACCTAAGAGCAGGAAACTGAAACTACATTTCAGGCCGGCTTGCTAAAATTGGACAGTATAAGAAAAATGTTGCCTCGTCTGATGAGTCCCCAGATTTACTACAACAAGAAAGCATCACTCCATCCCGGCTTCTATAAGGCTGCTGTGGTGTTGGTGTACTATTAGAGGATGTTATCTAAACAACACAGTCTTACTTGTGTCTTGTTGTTGACTATGCCGATTCCTTTATGACCAAAACTTCTGGAACTTGTTATAGCACGGTAACACATCACCTTACAAAGCTACGTTCACTGTTCACTTAGATTGAGATATGGCCTCCATAGATCCAGATCCTAATAAAATGGAGCAGCTTGGGGATGTGGTGAAACGAGAGATTCACGTCCCAGATGTGCAGTGGATAAATCTGCAGAAACTACGATTAGCTCCCTCCTTTGTGCTGCAGAAGCATGTTATTGTAAGAAAAAGGCTATTAAAAAAAATGCTACAGAAATTAAGAATCTGCTCCAAAAACTAAAAGATAATTTTAACTATTCACAGACATCAAAGTGATTTATCAAGTGTAAAAATATACATAGAAAAATCAAAGAGAAAAATCAAGCAATGAGACAGTGCCTAAAAGTTAAGTGGGTAGACAATAGTGAAAATACTATTTAAGTCTTTACCTTTAGTTGTGACCTACTTTGATTAAAGCACGCCGAGGCCTTGACTCTTTTGTCAACCTGGAATAAAAACACTCGAAGGCGCAAGAGCACCACAAATCACACAGTTACTAAATAAAACAACACACAAGATTCACACTTCAATAATTCATTTAATCTCCAGAGGGTTGCACTGACTTTGTCTTTGTTACAAACTGCACATGATAACACAATAAAACACCTCGCAACGTACAAGGTCGTGCAACATCTAGTCTGGCTTCCAGCACTGTCTCAATATATAGGCTGCTCAGAATCAGGGGTGCGTTCACAAATGTCATCTATGGAATACTGTTGCACAAACATGGCAGTGTTTGTAATCTGTGGATTCATTTAAGTTCCTTTGCTAGCATTTTTCTTTTCAGCTTCACGTAACTCCTTGGGAAGAGTTTCAGTTTGCGACATCAGAAAATTAAAAAAAAAAACAAACCCTATAAAAGAAAAAACAAAACTAGGAGATATTTAATTAAAAGAGCAATAAATAAGCAATTACTTGTCCCAAAATGGCTTCCATATATTATGTTCCCCAACATCTTTGCAGTAATTTTCAGCACAACACAAACCAAATCAAAAACTATACACAAAAATTTCAACCCCCCCCCAAAAAAAGGCTCAACACAAGCTGAACAACTTCTTTGTGTTAGTAGTTTGTAAATAACACTGGATTACATTTTAAATAACTTTGGTTTGAAATTAGTATTACTTTTTTCTTTTTTTTCCTTCTTCTTTGGGATAGCGTACCAATTGGGCTAAGGATGTTTAGATGACATCGCTGTGATAGTAGAATGACACAATCACGAATAACATTGGTGTCAAATGGTGTCGAGCTGCTGTTGGAGTAATTGTACCGCCACGAATGTAATAAACATTTGTGTATACAGCTCCATATATTCATATTTTTTTGTGATAGGTTACATATATCACACTTTATCGAAACACTTATGTCCGTATACATTTTTCATAAATAAAGATTTCATTCATCGATTAAAAAAAAACAACCCTGTAAACACGTGAAATCTTAGCGTACACACACACACACGTACACGTGATTACCCCCCAATCAAGTTAACCTCTTGATAAAGTGCAAGGCAAGATACAGTAAACTTTGAAATATATGACATACAACAACTCCTGCATCTCAAGTGCATGTGAGCGCCATCGCTCAATCACGCGCACGTTATTGTATGTCTCATAACCCACAAAAGTACAAACTTGGCACAACACCACGAAAGCCTCTAAGGTGTAGAGCGTAAGCTGGCACACTATGGATACAGTAGCACAATCCTACATCTACAACGCCTCACAGTTATTCTGTCTGGTAAAGGATTAGTTTGATAAATGTGGAAAATGATGTCCGAACTCAACAACCGAGCACTTCTGTGTAAATGAAGCAAAGCTGATGCACAAACAACTTTATTTTAACAGACCTGAGTCAAAGTGAGATTGTGAATGTACATTTCTGTCCCTTTTCTAGTTTTCAAAGCAGTTTAGTTATAAATTAAGATTATGTAGGCTTCTTATGAAAAAACATCTAACAACCACTGCGTCATATTGCTAGCTTGAAAAGCTAGTATTAGCTAAAACTAGCTAGTATTTCATTTTGTTTTAATTTTCTTACTTCTTACATTCTGACAATCAAACACTTGGCAGTAACTATGTCTCATGGTGTAGTTCAGGCCAATAAATGTGAAAATGTGAGTGTAAAGAAAAAAAAAGTATAGCTAACTTGTACTGTAACATTAAAACTTAGGTAAAGGTTAGCTAGTGAATGTTCTTTATTATATGCTGATAGCAAAAATTTTATGAAATTTACTTTTTTGCTAGGCAAGAGGAATGTTTTATTATTGTTTACAAATTTAGCTTTGCTTCTGAAAAAAGATGTATAAAGGAAGATGTCAAATCCTGCCAAAAGTTGGATTTGATTGCTTAACAACTGTTTGAGTAGCAATTATCGGATCCATTGCCACCGTCTCTAGTAGGGATGTACAGGACCAGTCGGCTTGAATATTACTGCAATTCCTAGTTGCACAGAAATACTTGTGGGTTGAAATGATTATAGGATTTTTTATGCTGTAATTGATATGAGTATTTGGTGGTTTAAAACTCTGATATTCCAACATTTGGCCATTCTCTTTTCAAACAAAACAGATTTCCCTCACATTTATTATTAATTTTTTTATGTGCGTGTTGTTGGATCGTGTATTTCACTTTTAGGCTAGTAGGAAAAGAAGGAAAAAAACAAACAGTAAACGAGTTAACAAGTTTCTGGAGTATTGTGAAGGAACAATTTTCGATTTCAGGGATTTCCAAACAGCAGAACAACAATTTAGGTACTCAAATAATACACTATTGATACACGGCTTGACAAAATTTACAATACGCAGGGTGTAAGTATGTAAGTAAGTGGTTTGTCTTTTTTTTTTTTGCTAAACTAACTCCTGCTTTTCAGTTAAACTCCAACCAGCCTGGTTTAAAACAAAAGTAACATTCACAAATGTTGCTGGTCTGAACAAACACGTAAAATAAAAAATTTACATTTAAAGAAAAAATCATTTTCATGAGGCAATATCCACTGTGAGGCGAAGGCTAAGTATGCATGCGGGGACACACATAACAATAGTAATTGGCTTGATTATATGCATGGTGGCCAAAGAGTTTGTCAAAGGGGGAAGCAGCAAAGCCAGAACAGCTTCACAGGTTACCATTGGGAAAATAAGATATACAAAAAAATAGATATACATTTTGTAATGTTAATAACAATAATAATAATAGCTTTTAACCACAACAAGGCAAAGTCAAATATCCACTGACTCTTATATTACATATACAATCATGAATATGGCAAAGTATTAGTAACACACTGAGTAGCTGTAATGTTTTGTTTGTGTGCATCCTTGATGCTTCCTCCTTCTGTAAACGCATTTACCAGACGCCACCAAAAATATCTGCTCTTATCGAGTCACTTCATCTGGTACTGTGCCTCATAGTGGTTCACAGAACTGAAAAACTGCACAGTGGGAAGAAATATTTAACTCCCACATAAGCCACATTTTAGACCTCAATAATAACCAAAAGAACGTACTTTAAAAATCCCACAGTCGGATCTTTTCACAGGGCTGAATGCCAGATGAAATGACTCACAGTAAAGTTTTTTTTTCTTTTTGCAGCGTGGCTGCATAGCCTCGGACCACACAAGCCACACAACAGCCTATTAAGAACCACTTTAAAACCACAACAATAGAACCTCTGTAAAATCATATACGATTTATCATTTAACATCATCATTATTCACAGGTTAGTACAAGTCCACACAAGTACATTCCTCAGTATATATATATTTTTTGCAACATATAAGAGAATCTCCAGTTCAGTAGACAGTAAGGTCGAGATGTTTCAGTTTGTTCATTTTGTTGATTTGTTGCGTCGGAGTTCTCATAGCAGTAGCATCACGGAATAAATACTCAGTCTTAATCAACGTCTAAAGGCGATTCAAGAAGTTTCGAAATAAAACAATTAAAGTTAAAAGATTGTAACAACTTATGATTGTACATATAAAATAATATGGCTGAACTCAACATGCAAGGAGAGCACCACGTAAACACATTTCTTGGTCACGAAAAAAAACAAAAAACAAAAAAAACCATAAGCCAGGAAGGACGTTGTTGCTCCACGCCTGCCTTGATTTCAGTTTAATTCGCTGCTGGCCACATCTACCAAACCAGAAGCAGAGCGCCAGTGGTGAAGCAATGCGATGCAAAGCCAGGGCCCTTTGGAAAAAAATTCAACAGAAACGGGGAGGAAAAATAAAATCCCCCCCTCAACCCACGTAAAATAAAATAAATCCTATAGTGGGAGGAAACACCTCTCTCAAGCCAATGGGCATTAGATTAGAGGTAAGGGTAGGAGGGGCGCTCCTCACACCTGGTTTTCAGGGTAACGGGGTCGGTAATAAAGCACCTCTAACAGGACTTCAGTTGCCTGAAGAATCTGCCTCAGTGGTCCCACCTTTGATATCCCAGGTTCCTGTGGACGAAACAGAAAACAATGAAAACCTGACCCTGCTTACAAAGACACATAACTGTGTGTTTTTAAAATAAAAGCAGGCTGAAGCTGACAAAGCCTCTTCTTTTAGTTCTTGGAGTAAACTGCTGTTAAGGACAACAGGACCTTGAAAAATGACAGCATCCCCCGCCTCTTTTTGTTGCTCACTGATGTATAATTGAAGAAAAATGCTAGCTGCTGTTTGTTTGGCAAACTTGATCCTTTGTGGTCTGGTTCCAGTGTCGCACAGAGTTTGATTATGTGGTTAAAATCAATTAAATGGTTTGCCCAGCAGGAGTAACTACTGCAAACAAACGAACAAAAGAAAAACTCTAAATGGCATGGCTGACTCAGTATAGCTGTAACCGATCCACAAGAAACTGATCCAAGTCCTGGAGACATGCAGAACCGTCTCCTCGTCAAAGGGTCCTTTTTATAGTTCCACCGTGGGCACTGTGACTTACATACACGACAGATACCAGGTGAAAAAAGATTAACGCTTCCATTTATTGCACCAAACAACCCAAAACGTATCCGTCTTTCAAATCATCCTCTCAGGACAGGACCTGTTCACTCCTATACTGCGTGCATCAATTTTTGTTTGGTTTGGATATGCTTGTGTTCTACTTTGTATTAACACCAGCCAATTTATAATGAATTGGGTTAGGAGATCAAATCAGGACAGGATCAAATCACTTAATATGAAAAGCTAATAGAGATAAAAGATGGATTCATTTATGTTTTTCCTTACTAGGTTTAAAAGGCTGAGGTCAGTAGCTGTTTAGTTCTGCTAAACCCAAGAAGACAGAAAAGGAGCCTTTGGTCAACAAAATGCATGTTGACACAAACTTAACCTTTCCTTTGAGTTATATTTAAAGTTCAAGGAAAAGATTTTTTTTTCATGACTATTCATATGTGTATTTGTTTTCTTTTACTATAACCAAGAAGTACTACATAATCCATATTTTCCCTAGGGATTAATAAAGTATTCTGATTGCAAAACCTCAGTGGAATTGTAGTTTGTCCTTGATAAAGGACAGGGACGCATGAGTGTTGCTGCACAGCACACAGAGAGCTTTTTCAGTCAGTTTAATTTCAGAAAGTTTCATTTAATCTTAGGCCAGAGGTTTCGCAGGTCGATACCTTCGGCTCTAAGATGAAACCGTCTCCTGCCGTGTGTTTGGCTCCTTTTTCTCTCATTGTTGGACAGCAGGGGCTAAAATGACTCATTTGATGTTGAAGGTTGCTGACCTGGTCTAGACAACACCTTGGTCTTTGTATTGCTGTAACCCACATCCCAAAGAAATGAACAAACACAGCTAATGGCTCAGTCACACTACAGCGAAAATAGGACGGTAAACTCTTTCTGACTTTGGGGGAAATAAATATTTAAAATTCTGGTCGTTGCCCAATGATTGCTTTCAATATTTTTGCTGACAATGACAGATGTCAAGAGTTGCAACTGACAACCTTGTCTGGGCGAACACTCAAACACAAGGCTATTGCTCAAGTTGTGGTGGGAAGCAACCTGTCTCCTGACTGCAGTCACTCTCCAACAGATTGGCCAAGATTTGCAAATAACTGGAGTCTATTTTTGCAATAGGGAATACAATTGACTGGTTCCAAACTGCCTGAGCTATTTTGCATTTAAATTGCCGTCCTGAAGCAACTGCATCACTATTTGTAACTCTTTAGAAATGTATAACTGTCTATTTTAAACGTATGAGGTTCTGAACTCTTAACGCAAGTAGTTCATGTGAATTTCTGTGCATGGAGATGGCAACAGGATTTGCTGATTTATTATAGTTAATCAGCATCTTATTGATGTGTTGACGCACAAGTCTTGACAGACCAAAGTTGCTTCGAAGACGACAACTGGCTGCGAGTGCTTGCAAACCTGCTCCCAGTCTTCAAAGCAACCATTTCAAAGGCAACAAGACTGCGAAATGTTTGGACACGATCACAATAAATTTGTTCCTGCTGTGGTCAACAAACTAGTTTAACTGTTAGCATGCTGACATGCTAAGATCTTTTACCTGAGAGAGAACTGTTGGACTTCTGCTTGTGGAGCTTCTCTCTCTCCTTCTTCCCCTTAGGTATGATCTTAAGCTTCATACTGCTGCTGCTCTTAGTGCTGCTCCTCACTGAGTCCTAGAAATAAGAGATTGATGGGTACACAGTGAGGGATATTTTGCTATGTGAAAGTCGTCAGTGAAGGCAGATGGGCTGCTACTGAGCAACAGAAGTGACACTGTGGCACTTTGCTGGTTGTTAGTCTGCGATAATGCCACGGCTTCTCTCTGACACAAACAAACACTGCATCCCATCCCACCTCCTCGGTGCACTGCATGAGCGGGCAGATCCAGTGGATGTCATCCAGCTTGTGAAGCTCGGCGCTGAGGCTGTTCAAAGTCAAGCGAAGCTCCTCTCGCTCTGGAGACTCCGACTGAGACAGAGAGAAGGTGAAGAAGAGTTCAATTATAATCAGAATGGGACATTTGACATTTAACCCTCTGAAAGTTGGTAAAAAGTCAACACCTGTTCTGTGTGTTTTTGACCCCTTCTGATTCACAAATGCATAAACACCTGTTAATGTGTCAACAGTGGTTACTTCCAATTTCTTTGAAAGGAAAAATATTTTGTATATTTTGCTAATATTTTGCTGCACCTGCACCTGTGTAATCATCACATGTTCACTTCATTTCATCTCTCATCAAAACAAGTTTACAGAAGTAAAATCCCTACCTGTGGTTCACCATTCAGTGTTAAAGGAAGCGAAAGTTAAACCCTGTTTATTAACTAAAAAAAATGGCTTTTAGATACTTCAAAATAGGAAGCAGATTAAACTGCATCCCCAGGAAATTTGTATCTGACACTCTCTAACATGTAGACGTGTTAAAGACAGCATCAAAAGAAGTAGAGGTGGGTTGCAAGGCGGCTTGCAGCAAGACTAAAACAACTTAAATGTGCTTTATCTAAGATTTACCAGAAGGATGAGCAGAAGGCTATCATCTGAGCCATCAGCCAATGCTGTCTGGCACCGCCATGAGCCATTCAGCACGCACTAATGCTGTTCTCGGTTTCTCCCTCTAGCTGTGAACAAAGGATTGTTCAATTTGTCCAACTGTGCATGAAGTGCCACCCACAAGTTGAAATGTCTGGACACACCATACAGTCGAGCTGTTCCCACGACAGCTCCGTGGGACTGAGATCTGGTGACTGCACTGGACATAGACCGAATACCAGCTGACTGTTTCTTGAAATAGTTCTTACCTAGTTTGGAGCTTTGTTTTGGATCATTTTCCTGTTGTGGGAGGAAACTGGCATCGCCACAGGGTATGGCTCGTGTTGAAAAATGGAGCAATATCCTCCCTTGTTTCAACAATAGTTTCTCTTACACAAACCTTCCCCCCCCTCTGCAACCAAACTATTGGATTTCTTCACCATGCTTTAAAGTTATTGTTGAGCTCCTCCAGCACCTATTTGTTCCGAATCTCTGTTCTGTTTTGACCACAACTCCTCAAACTTTAGATTAATGGGTCTGTAAGGCTGGTTTCTAATCTTCCTCCGTCCAGTGTTTGTGTTCTTTCCCCACAGTTTCCTTTTCCATTTATTGGCCAAAGTCAAATTAAGCTTTTTCTTTTCAACTCTGCCTAGAAGGCCATCAGGAAGATGTCTCATCATTACTGCTGACACTGAAACTAGTTATTTACGGGAACTGTTTATTGAAGGTGCCAGAGCATGTTTTCTCCAAAGGGAGTTGTTCCTTCTGGTCTTTGTTGAGCCATGCTCTAGTCTTTATTTCTTATCGGGTGTACACACAGGAAGAGCAATGAAAAAAAAGGTAACTTGTATCAGTGCCGAGCAAAATAAGCCAAATAAATTAACAAGCAGTTAAACTAATGTCAACTTTAAAGCCACATCCACACTGGAAGTGATTTGCAGCGATGTGGTGACCAGAAACTACCGAAACTGAATGAAATGCTGATTACGAACGAAACAACCACCATGATGGGACGTGAGCGGGACCTCAGATAACCAGGTAAGTGCCTGAAGCAACTTCCAGTGAGAGTGAAGGATATATGAAATATGATCTGTTAATAAATATATTGGAAGTCGCGATTACTCGAAAGTGACAAGCAATCTGCTTCAAGGAGCAAACTGCTTCCAGTGTGAACGCAGCCTCCTGACTACCAATGGGAATGAACTATACGCCTGACTGACTCATGACAGGGCAGAAGATTTGCTAGAGGGTTACCTACACAGTGAGATTGATCGTCCAGTAGCGACTAACACTCAGTATACAGTAGTCATATGCAGAGTTCTCATTTTATCTGCTCGTCTGCACAAAGGCTCACTGCGTTAAACTGTGAGATTTCCTTAAAGCTACAGCGAACACAAACTGAACAAACATGTTGAACAGCAGAAGCTGAAATATGAGATGGAATATCTGAATGGCTTCAGAGGAAATGAAGGGCCGAACGCAAACAAGGAGGGAAACAAAGAACGGAGAGACGAGAGGGATGAACGGCTGAGGCGTACCAGTAGTTTTCCATCGAGCAGCATCCTGGTCTCAGCCTGGAGGACTTTACTGCTGTTAACAATTTCCACTGCAGTGCTGCGACTCAGACACTGAGAAAAAAAAAAAAATTCAAAAGTGACTGTTTTGAAGACATACGTCGTCCTCGAGGTGACATCACTGATGGAGTTCAGGTTAACAGGCTGCAAATTTAACAGCCTTTAAATTGACATGAAATCTGAGCATTTTTCTGAAAATCTGGTCATTTTGTGCCATCAATAAACTCCCATCTGCTCTCCGCCTCGGTGTCTTACCTCGGGGCTGGACAGTTTGGCCTCTGTGAGCACCAGGGCAGTGGCGTTGACTGCGTGAGCCAACTCCTGCTCCACCAGCTTGTGTGTCTTGGCCGCCTCGCGGATTCTGAGCGGGCACAAAGCAGGAAATGGTGAGAAAAACCCCCCAGAAAAGCACAATTATGGCCGCTGTAGCCTGTTGATACGTACCCGCCTCTGAATTTACTTTCTTTTATTGTCTATTATTGTATTGCCTCTTTCTCAAATATAACCGGAGCATCTTCTACTGTGCGCTTAAATTATTTGTAACACATCTCTCTTGAATTGAAATTCCCTTTACGAACGTTTCTCCACATCTGAGGAAAGTCTACAAATGTAATTAAAATATTTATCATCCTGAAAGTACGGCAGTTTTGAAACATAACCGAAGACATCATCATAAACAGGGCAAACTGAGACAGGACGAAGGAGCTGCAGAGGGACACTACTTGTTTGCAAATGTGAAAAAGATAAATAAAACAGCTCATCAGTGCAACGGAGACAAGCTCAACGCAAGTTTGCAAATAAGCCAGTTAATTGCGGTGGGATGAGGAAATTACCCCTTTATGGTCTCCACACACAGACGGATGCAGCTCAGTTAGACTGAGCTGTTTGCAATGTTTGAATGATATATTTTAAAATAATGTAGAGCGGGCATGGGGAACTCGAGGGCCGGTGTCCTGCAGGTTTTACATCTCACCCGGGTCAACACACCTGAATCAAATGATTAGTTCATTACCAGGCCTCTGGAGAACTTCAAGAGGTAATTTAGCCATTTAAATCAGCTGTTTTGGATCAAGGACACATCTAAAACCTGCAGGACACCGGCCCTCGAGGCCTGGAGTTCCCCCACCTTCGATGTAAAGAAGAGAGGAGATGTGTTTTTCAGTTTTAGTGCTAAATTTTTGTATTTTTAACATTTTCTTCTGACCACAAAACAGCATCCAGCTTTTAAAACCACTGTGTGGCGTCAGCACGCACTAATAAACTGTAGGACAGCTGAGACGAGAAGAAAATCTGAAGCGGTGCCTACTTGTTGATCAGCGTGTCGGCCACGATGCCTAGCTGCTGAACCTGGGCGCACTCCTCCTCGGTCAGGTACTCCATGGACTGCTGGGAGTTAAGGCGGGGCCTGCTGGCGCGGTAGCTGTCGATCTTCCTCTTGTCCTCCCACGACTTCAGCGTGCTCTCAAACGCCTGGTTGTAAAGAGATCAATGTTCAGCCAAGCTAGTGCTGCTGAGCCATCTTTGAAAGAGAAGCCCATTTCAAACAAATCCAAGAGCCACCCGATGTCTGCTTTGAAGGAGTTCCCCTGTCAGTCACTGTGCGGTTTGTAGAAATAAATGTCAGGGTGCATTTCATTTCACGTCTAAGACTAATACACAACAGCAAAGACATCTTTTTAATCTCATGAAGGAGCAAAGGAAGAAAAGTGTTTCATTATGAATTTAATTTAAAAACTCGCCAATAATCGTGCCTCGAGCAGGCAACCAGCAGGGAAAAGCTTTACCCGACACATAACTGTCACTATTTCACTGAATAAAGCCGCATTTAGGGAGGATAAAACCAGCGAGCCAACTCTGTGGTGCTTAAGGAGGGGAAACCATGGAAACAAACTGCCCAAATGTGCTTGGCTCAAGAGAGCTCTCAGAGGTTTGAGCAGCATGAAGGGAGAACAAACAGTGGGTATGGATGTGATTTAAGAAATCCCAAAATAGAAAGACTCAACAACACGGGCAGAGCGCTGAGTGTCCAGCTGCAATATTTATGAAAGGAAAAGGGAGTATCTCCAGCCACTGCTGGTTTTAACATGCATGCCGCAGACATGGGTATGCAAAGTGTCAGGTGCAGGTTTTTTATGTGTGCTTCAGCGCTCACCCGGTCTCTCGTGAGCATCTGAGCGCGGTTCTTGTGGATGATCTTGACGATGCCGGGCGGCTGTATCCAGGCCTCTCCGTCCACCTGCACAGGAACCCCCTCCTCCCCCAGGATGGTGATCTTCACCTGGCGGCACTGAGAAGCGGCAGAGCAGAAAACAGCAGCTGTCAGATGCGGGGGTTTGAGTGCTTTTTATCAGCTAACCCCTTAAACTGACCTCCTCTGCCCTCTACTGATGAACACTGAGCAATTCATGTGAAAAAAAACAGCAAGTTTAAGGGTTGGGGCTCTTCTTGCACGGTTGGATTTTATACCTCTTGACAGCCCTCAAAGCTCAGAACAAACAACTTCTGATTTTCCAAATCACCAAGGCCTGATAATTTGTACTAACCAAGAAAGCTCACCAGCCACAAAAAGATCCTTGTCATTAGTTGTAATTAAATTAGCAGGATTACCCAGCCAAAATAATTCATGATAACAGCACAGTGGAAATAATACCAGGCCTACTACGTTGAAGTGCCAAGGGCTTTAAATCCCCGTGAAAAACATCTGTTGATCGTTCAATTTTATTTATGTAGTGCCAAATCAAAATGAATCACCTCAAGGTGCTTTAAACTGTAGGGTAAAGATCCTGCAACAATTAAGAGGAAGCACTTAGCGAAAGTGGGAAGGAAAAACTCCCTTTTAACAGGAAGAAACCAGCAGAACCAGGTTCAGGGAGGGGCCATGACCAGAGTGAGTGAAAACAAGCAACAAGCTGGTTTTGGGGACGGTGGGCACCTGGCAGATCCCACGGATGCCTTTGAAAGAGGATGACAACAGCGAGAGGAAAAGGAAAGCTCGCCTTTATGTGCGTACAACCACAGGGGGAGAGTTTGGGCTGTGATCCTCCTCCAGTTATTGAATTATTGGTGCACTGGGACGCTCTTATTTAAAATAAATGCCAGTGTATGAAAATATCTTCGGTGTGTAGCTTATTCAAAGACTGTTTTGATCTGAATATACATTTTAGATTACTCATGTTGCACATTCATGTAAACACTCTGACTCCATATAAATATTATAATTACTCCACGGCCTCCTTTATTATCCTTCATATGTAGATGACTGTGGAGAGTTTTTATTTATATACAGTAAGGAGCTGTTGGTTCAGAGTGGAAATTAAATATTTGCATCTGATATTTGTCTTTTATTGGTGCAGAAAGTGACGGGATTTGATTCCAGTTTGTTTTGAGTTGCTTCCTGTTATTAAAGCTCAACCTCTGATAAGAGCTGATGTGCAGTGTTTGCAGGTCCTGAAATCTTGTGGACTTTCACCTTCTCAGCCAACCTTACCAGTGGTTTAACTTGCTCGGTGTGTCCTTTTGAAGGCCAAACTAAGATGCTGATGTAGGGAAGAGGTTTTAAAAAGGCTCTGTCAGACATGTAGAGGTAAGCGTTCTATGTGTCTGTGTTACCTGTGCAATGCGATGGTGCTGCAGGTTTATGACTCTGGACACGGCCATCTGCATGCTGCCGAACACCGCCACCACCTCCAGCTTCTTATCATCAAAAGACGGAGCTCCAAAGTTCTGGAGGTGCAAGCGATAAAAGTCAAACACCGTCAGATTCAAATTTAGATGAATTTGAAATGTAAAGTAAAAATTCTGATTTATTTTCTTGTCTTTTCTTTTTACTGAGAATGCTTCTGAAGGCCCGGTTGGACAACACTCACATTGTCCTCTTTGGTGCCTCCCCAGAAGTTGATACCGCCTGCATAGCTGGGGATGTTGAGGACAGCCAAGCCCTGCAGACTCGGCAGAGACATGGGAACCCCGTCACACTGTGGACAGAGGAGAGGAGATGCTTCAAGACGAGGAAAACTCAGCAGGTTTGCAGAAATCAGCTGACAGACATTTGTTTCCCTAAAGAAAACCGTTGGGTGTGTGTTCATGTACGCCTGCTTTTTACCTCCAGCTGAACTCTCTGCTCTAGGTTCTTGTACGTCTTCTGGACCAGCTCTTTGGTCCCCAGGACTCCGTACCACATCATGTTCTTGGTGCGACTACTGCAGAGGGAAAAGCAAACCAGTCAGGCCTGAGCACAATATGATAAACTGATGTGTTGCTTAACAAAGTGCAACTAAAAAACACCATAAAATCTAAAACTGAAGCAATTTAAGCAGAAATTCTTCTGCTGCTAGCCTTAGGTGGTCATTACTGGGGGAACTTTGTCATCTTGATCGGACGTTTCTTTCTGATATGCACCTTTATTTACTGGCATGACTGAGAATGTCACGGACTAGTAGGTCACATGTAGCGTAATGAACTGGGATTACTGTGGGCATTTACAAAGAGTGCAGTGACAAGATTGCGTGTAAGGTTGAACCCCACAGATTTGATGTGACTGACCCTGATGGATGTGTATTTATGGTGACACACAATTTAGAAAAAAAGCTAGAAAGCTTATTTTTATTGACTTGACATTGAAATAAATTGACTGTTTGAGGATTGTGCTTACACGTCATTTTGCCCCGTTGGCCCTTTATAATCAGGTTTGTGCGTCTGTGTGTTTGTTGGGGTTTTTTACCTGCATTTTTTCGGGTGCTCGTCTCTTTTGTTGTTGAACTCGAGGGAGATTTTGGCATCCAGGCCGATGCCGAAGTAGTTGTTCATCACACACTTCTCTGAGCACTGTCTGTAATTATGAAGCATGCAGACGGTTTATTAATACCTGATTTTGTGTGAGTGTGTGTGTGTGTGTACTCATGTGTGCGCTTACACAGAGTCCTCGCTGAAGGTGACAGTGTTGAGGCTCTCTGGCTTCTCCAGGACGATGGGAGAGGTGGGACTCAAACTTCCTTGACCTGGATAGAACAGCGGTAATAGGAGAAGCGCCTTTAGATTGAAACTGGTGGCTTTTTTTAAGGAGTGAGGAACCTCCAAAGCTTTAAAGAGAAATCACTCTGTCCACTGCTTTGACTCTTTAATTTGCTAATGCATGAACTAAGAGCACTTTGGCGTGGCGCGTATCCCTGCTGTGATCAAACTTACGTGGCTCGGCGTCCTTCAGCTCCTCGCTGTTTTCTCTTTTGATGGAGGATGAAGACGACATCCTTTGGACCTGTGTGTGCCGGTTCTGCTCGTCAACCACTGACATGATGATAGACAACCGGTGAACTGCACGCAGCATGCTTGTATTTTACAAAATAAGCCAGCCCTGATGTTGTGCGCTAAATGACGAGAGAAGAACAGCGGCCTACCTTTCTCGGCCTGCTCGATGATCTGCCTGAGCGCCTTCTTCAGACTGTTCGCCCTGAGCATCAGCTGCTCTTTGGACCGGTACGTTTTGTCCTCCGATCCCGGCTCACTGCCACTTTCATCGTGGCTCGAGCCACCGCTCTCCTGGCTCGGCACCGTACCCGCCGGCACCACCTGGATGAAAGTACAAGTAAAAACCTATAAAACCTGTGAAATAGGCCCTGGGATGCTGCTGTTTGATGGCTTCTTTTGTGGGATTCCTGATATTACCAGACTTCCCCCATCAATCTGTTACATTTTACGAGCAGCGGGAGCCCAGCATCACAATATCACCAAAGCAGCAGTGTTCAACCTGAAAACGTCTTCTCATTCATAATTTTTTACGATCCCTGCTTCGCAGCCCTCTACAGCGGCGCAACATCAGCGAGAGGCAGCAGTTATCATCCTTTAACGACAGAACTGCGGCTACACGCAGAACTTTGAATCAAAGGTAAAAATTCAATGCACTTCCCCTTTTACTGAGCAGAAAGTTTAAATCATGCTGACATTTTGAGGGCTGGGCTGTTTCTTCTAAAGCAATGACATCAATCTCTGGATAAAAGGCTCCACAGGGTGCAGAGGCACAGAAAGCTGGATGATGTTTTGCTCTTGAGCTCCCATGAGGAAACTTAAAATGTGTGCAAAGCCACCTTTTTCTTTTATACTTGACCTCATGTTTCAGACAGTCCTTAGTTTATCATTGCAATCCTTATTTTCTGTTTAGTTTGAATTCCTAGATACTGTATGTGTTTATTATTTGCAGTACAAATACTGCTTTGTTTGTTTTAGTAATTCGTCTACTGCGCAATCGTCAGTTCAAGACGACTGACTGGGAAGGGAGAGGCTATAATTAGGGGGAGACGACATTATCATGCATAATTATGAAGCAATCAATCATAAATATTAGGCTGTTTTTCAGTCTAAGCACTTTCATGAAGCAATAAAAATTAAAAGTATGGTTCACTTTTGAGATGAAGGCAGCTGTAATAAAAATGTTATTTATTGTAGAAAAAAACTTCTGTTCAAGGTTACAAATAATCTTCTTGTGGCCTCTAGTAGTGGACTCATCTCTGTGTTTGTTCCACGAGATCTGAGTGCTACATTGGATACTGCTGACCACAATATTTAAATACATACATCAGAACATGCTGTAGGTATTACAGATACTGCACTTCAGTGGTTTGTATCATATCTATCTAACACACTCCAATGTGTTCATGGAGAGTCCTCTTCACACGCTGAGGTTAATTATGGAGTTCCACAGGGTTCAGTGCTAGGACCAATTCTGTTTACATTATACATTACAGATTATACATGCTTCTCTTAGGCAGCATCATCAGAAGGCCTAGCACTGCAGATGACACCCAACTTTATCTGTCCATGAAGCCAGATGACACACACCAATTAGTTAAACTACAGGAATGTTTCCACTCACTACTACTGAACTTTTAACATTATACAGATTCAAATGATGGTTGTTCAAGGACAGAAGGGAGCAGAGACATTTAAAAAAAGAAGCATTTATAAAGCGTAAGGATAGAAGTAAGAATAAAATCAAAGTAGTGAAGGAACAGCGGTGGATGGGAGGTTACATAAGTGAGTCAAAACCTACAGGAACCCACATGCACGTTATTAAACTAAGTACTCTGTGGGAACTGTAAACATGATCTGGGTTCAGTATAACTGGTTGTGTTATGTCATTGTCAGTGTGGAAATGTTGGTGTGTTTGCACAGTTGTCACACTTGTTGTCATTACCTGGGCTTCAGCTTCCTCACTTAAGGCCTTGACGAGGGAATCGAGCTTCTCGTTGAGCAGCGCACACTGAGAGAGGAACAGAGAGGGAGATTTCCATTATCCGCATTGCTTTCTTTCTCACTTCAAAATTACACGAGTGCGGTGTAAATTTGGACATGCAGTACGCATCACTCTGAAATCGTCACTCTGTGAGGCTGCAGCAACACCTCAAACCAGCGTGAAAGCAATACTCGCTCTGATTTGGTGCTCGTGGGACTTTTATTTGGAGACTTGCGAGGCATCAACGCTGCTTCGCAGTATTTGGAAAAAGGCGGGTAAGTCAGAGGGTGGAAGCTTAAAAGATTTTTCTTAGTTTTTTAGAATCTTTTACGTCTCGAAGTGATTTTCTATGCAGAGACTCGAGCGGAAATGTTGTATTCAGGGGTTGTAGTCACGTGATCGTCATCTATGTGGCGTTAACTTGTCCACCATCAGGACAACAGACTGGATGCAAAAGAAAACTGCGTGCAACCAGCATTTGGTGAGTTGTGGTGAGCGTTTGCAGCAAACTACGACCAAAGCAGCTTTTTGGTGCAGCACCCTGTTTGCACCTGATTTCACCTAGCAACTGTGAACAACCTCTAGCAACCGTTTGCTAACTGGGAATGCATCAGACGGTCACTGACCGCTCTCTAAGCCTTTATATCTGAAGTGAGTAATACACCTGCTAGACATTAAACATGATTAAGGTAAGGACTCATTTACGGACTAGGATCTTGCCCAAGGATGCTTTGGCACGCTGCAGGAGGAGCTGGGGATCGACCCCTGAATTGGTAGAAAACTCACTCTACCACCTGAGTCGCCCTAAAATGATGTGAAAACTGGGGGTAAAATAACAAAAAAAAACAGCAAGTGCATCCAACCCTGTTAGACTTTTGAGTGCGTAACACTAGATCAGACACAGCAAGACCTGAAATTTCTGAATTTAGATGTTATCCCGTCGTTGTATCCTATTAAGTCCCAAATAAACGAGAAGCAGCATGAAAATGATCAAAGCATGAGTGGGTTAGTGTTTTGTGCAGACAGCGAGGAGTGACTTTGACTCAGTTTTTAATCTTGCATTCAGACTTCCAGCTTCAGTGTCTCCATTTATTCTAATGAAGAGTCAAATAATTCAGCAAGAAGAAAACATGAACCGCCAAAGGCGCAGAACACTAAAGCAGGGAGTGATAACACTGAACCTTCAACTATATTTCACACTCTCAATTATACACACGCACACCTACACTTGCCCACTAGTTACTGTTATACAAGCTCTTACATAACCCACACGGCCGCACACAAAACCCATTTACCTTCTTTGCCATGGCATCTGCCTCCTCCTTGTTCTCCGTGGCTCTCTCGTACGCCTTCCCCACCTCCGCCACAAAATCATTCACCGTCCCACACAGAAATCTGGAAGGGGGGGGGACGTGAAGGTGAAGGTTAACGTGATTAACACAGAGAGTGAAACTAATTATACGGCTAACAGGTTTCAGATTGTGTGAGTCACTGTGCAGTTACTGAAGATTACACACACACACACACACACACTCTTGTTTTATTGCCACCTACCTGCCTGTCAGCTACGTCGCCTCCACACAGTCACTATTTACTCACAGCTGTTACATTGCCGCTGCATGACTCAGCAGGGAGGCCTCTCCAAATTCTCACAGTCCTCGTCGTGCTTTTTAGCAAATATTGGATGCTGAAAAATGATCGCCTCTCGCCTTCTACAGAAACACGCAGTTTATGTCCTCCAGTGCTGCCCAGACTATTTATTTTACTTCTATATTAGATGTGTGGAAATTACATGTCTCATCGCACCTTTTTAATGAATTTAAGCGTCATCTTTGAAAGGTAAAGCTTGTAGTGCTGATGAATATCTATTCAGCTTCACCGGTGCTACAATCAATCACGTGCAATGGCTCAGCAGCTGCAGGTGACGCGCTAATAACGGTAAAGATGTCACTAAAGGATAGAAGATACAACTTTATCTGGAAGCTCTTTTTAAGGTGTAACTGCTTTTAAGCAGAACGCCCAGAGGCTCTTACAAGATGTTTGCCAGGTGGACAGACTGGTTTCTACTGTTCAGATTAGTCAGATACAGTTACTCCATAGATTATGCTTTTGTAAACTTTCTTCTCATAGTACTTTTATAGTGTAGCGGTTCACTTAATACACATATCATAGTACTTTTAGTCCCCCTAACATATATCTCTATGTATATCATATGTTTCTATAAAACAGCCACTATCTGATGTGTGATTAAAAAAAGGTCCAAAAACTTCATTATGTTTAAATTTAGTAAATTTCTTGAAAGGGAAGTTCCTGTTTCTTCCTGTTAAAAGGGAGTTTTTCCTTCCCACTGTTGCCAAGTGCTTGTTCAAAGAGGATGGTTTGATTTAGAGCTGGGCGATATGAGATTTTTTCATATCACGATATGTTTTTTTCATTTCAGGCGATAACGATATCTATCACGATATAAGCCAAATAACTATATTTGTAAGATTTAAATGTGCCGTTGCTCACAAGTAAAATGTGAAATAATCAGCAGCTTGTTTTTATTTAAATATTTATTTCCCATAATAAGTTCAACAGGGTAAATGTACTTAAGGAACATGAGACTTTTTCAGATAAATAAAGGCAAATATTGCAAACTACACAAAAGGCAGCCGATAAAGCGTTTAAGTTTCAAAATAGAACAAACAAAACAGACTAAATTGTCAATTCCACTTAGAAACAAAATATTAATTCTAAAAATAAATCTTAGTTTGTTTTACAGAAGAACAGACAAAACTGACTAACTTTTGTCAATATCAAATAAACTGAGAACTAAAAGGAAATTCTCAATCTCTCCTTGTTGTATAGCTGAGCTTTTCAAACAGTTTTAACAGTTACTTTAGTCTGACAAAAGCCGAATGACGAATTAGCGCTTCCAGTCAGAGACTGAGGCTACGTCCACGCGTACACGGGTATTTTTGAAAACGGAGATTTTCCGTTTTCGTTTTAAAAAATAATCCCGTCCACACATAAAAGCAGAAATGAAGGAAAACGCTGCTATGAACATGCCAAAGCAGCAGGTGGCGCTAGATTCCTAACCGTGCAGAAATGTTGGCCAATCAGAAGTCTAGAAGCCTCGGTGGGAAAAAGTAAACAAAGCTGGGGCATAGAAGCAGAACAGAGTCGTATGTGTGGAGGGACAGTAACTGTGTGTGTATGTAAGCATTTAAACACTGCAGAGAGTAGAATTAACAGTATTGTAGAAACAAGAGCGGCGAGGTCTATCGCGATAGCTTAATTTCTCTATCGAGTAAAAGTTATATCGCGATACATATCGTTATCGTTCTATCGCCCAGCTCTAGTTTGATTGTTAGGATTTTCTCTGCATACTGTAGGGTCTCTACCTAACGATATCAAACACTATGAGACCACTGCTGGTGTGATTTGGTGCTATATAAATAACTGAACTGAATCTTCCCTGTACACCTTGGACGTCCAAAAGCAAAAATCAACTTCTGTTTCAAACTGATCCAAATTTGTGTGGAGGATGATCACTTGCTGTCACCTTGGAGCAAGAAGGTCCTTGGTTTGAATCCACCACCTAGCACCTTGAGGAGTTTGCATGTTCTCCCCGTGGCTGTATCGGTTCTGTCCGGGTATTCTGAGCTCCTCCCACAGCCCACAGGGTTGCGTAACGGATGGCTGTCTGTCTCTCTGTGTTAGCTCTATGATCGACTGAGGACCTGTCCAGGGCGTACCCCGACTGTCACAGGGATAGGCTCCAGAGTCCCTGCGACCCTGAATTGGATAAGTGAAAGAAACTGACAGAACTGGGGTCTCTAGATATGAGATATTAGTTTAAAAGAGCCCAAAATGTTGCATTTCAGGCCCAACCTGCTGGATTCGCAATTTAAATGCGTTGCAGCCAGCATCACTGAGGCACAGCTAACATATATTCCGGTAACAGACTTCAAGGGAGAGATTTAAAAATCAAATCCACAATGAAAGAAGTCCAGAGGTGCATCAGGGGATGATCCTGAAGGAGAGACTAGCTTAACTGTAAACCAGGTGAGGTTTTAGATTTTTGTGTGCCAAATCCCAGAACTCTCTCGAACTTTCTCGTAAATCTAGCACACTTATTTGTCTCTACTGTCCCTGGCATGTTAGTGGGAGATCATTGTTAATGTTTAGAGGGCTCCATTAGAGTGTGACGGCAGGCTTACATTACTTACTCCTCTAATGGCTTCGCTGGCAGAGTGACATCCCATTTCTTCCATTAAGTCCCGGCCCTGTGCAGGAGCTCCACCAGACTCGTCTATGAGTTTTCACTGATAGTAAACTCAGGGTGAGAACAGCACCCAGCTGAACTCCATAAATATTATTTTAATGTCATTTCGTGCTTGAATTCTGTTCACACATCAAATCCTGTTAAAATTCTGTTTGCTGCTTTAAAGTTTTTTAAAAAGAAGTTATTATTGTTATATTTCATGGAAAATCTGCTGTGAACGTGTCCTGAAAGTCCCCGGGGTGTTGTAAATGTGCTGCAGGTCTGAACTAAAATAAGCATTGTTTTAAAAGAAACGCATGCAGAGAAATGGAGACGAGTCCTGCTGCACCGTTCCCCAAAGGGAGACGACTAATGTACTAATGCACTTAGGATGACCCCTAAACACTGATTCATCTGTCTCGTTCACTCAGACACGCTCGCACTCTCAAGTGTATGTGTGACCTCAGGATGAGAGCAAAGCATATACACACATTTAAAAAATACCAAGACAATCACTCGACATCCCCGTCTCATCGTCAGCCCCTCTCCCAGGCTTCATTCACCCATCATTATTATCCTTTACCCTCCCATCTACTACTTTCTTCCCCTCTTGTCTCATTTCTGAGTTTGGAAGCATTCGTGGCACGTACTTGGCAGAGGAAATGACATCACTGTGTTTGTCCGAGTCCAGGATCTTGGCGAGGTGGGAGGCCACGGAGTCTGCATACTGAGTGATGTGAACCTGAGAAGAAGAGAGGAAGGTTTCAAGTTAACAGAGAAACCAAAGAAACTTGATCTGTAGTTTAATCAAACGCTCTGGTTAATGAAGTGCCACAAGATATTTTTCTCTTTCATCTGGAAATATTAATTTACTGGTATTGGCACTAATTATGTGAGTTTAAAGGACCTAAGATGACATTTATTGTTTTTCTTTTTAATAGAGGCTGTAACCACTGACTACTAGCATAAGCCTACTCAGATCTTTTATTTTAAGATCTTTTTTTGAGAACTGAAGCAGCAAAATCATCCACTTTTGGGCAATATGGAACCCAAACTCAGTCCCCTAAAGATGATTAACATTATTATCTTAGATAGAATTAATTATCAGATTTAATGTAGCTAAGATTAAATTAATTTCAGTTTTATTTTGGCCAAAGATTTTGCAACTAGCAACAGGTCAGGAACATTATTTGGTGAGTTTCTCAGAGATGAGGTATGGGCAGAGGTTCACCACTTTGCAAAATAACTACATCTACAAACTGTGGAGCAATTGCAAAATAATCAAATTTGTGAAAGCTTTGACTGTCTCATCCACATTTCCTAACACCGTCAATCTCTGTGCGCAAACGGCAAGCCTGAATATGTTTTTTCAAATGGTACATTTTCTTAAATGCATGATTAGTACGGTATCTCTTGTCACAAGTGCCACATAAACCTGTGCGACTTCTTTTCACAGGTCATGTTTGACATGACAAGGCATGAATTACCCGCTCGTATTACTCATCCATTCACAGGAAATTCAACTAAATTCATCTGCGTTTAAGAAAACGTCAGTCCAGGTTTGCAGTTTGTGCAACAAATCCTTCTGCAGAGCGGGCATGTACACTCCTGTGAAGAGGTGCACCTGATGATTCAAGAGCCCGCAGAGCTACCTTTAGCCTCAATGATGTGAAGTAAACGTTTACTGCTATGGAGGAATTGCACCTCACTCTTCTTTACGACCGTGTTTCAGTTCATTCATTTGTTTATGCACAGCTCTAATGTTTCATCAACTTGAGCTCTGGACTTTGACTGGACCTTCGCGACTTAACTGAGGCCTGGAGAGCAGTAACGTTGAACACATTTTACATCGTGGGCCACATACAGCCCACTTTGAGCTTGGGCTCAACCCTAATAAGCTGTAAAGTTACAAAATTTATTCCCTCCTTTGTGTTTTCAAAAGCTGTCCCAGTAGGCCAGACTGGAGTCTTTGGTGGGCCAAAGTCTTAGATGAAGCTTTTGTGGGGTTTTCGCCGTTTCTCTGAGCATTGCACTCTGAGCAGGTAATCAAGAGCTACTGATGAGCAGCTCTCACCCTACTTACCCTCTGAATTCCTATAGAAGAGGTAAGGGTGGAGTTAGTCAATCCCCATTTATCACTCAAAAAACTCCAGTTTCTTTGGAATTTTACTGCAATGGCAAAATCATTTAGTAAAGAGGATTAATTTATGTGAGTGAAGATGATTTTAGCACGTTAACCACCATCTACTGCATATCTGGCATTTGAGAGGCAGCGCTCAGCTTGAATTGAAAACACAGAGCTGCCCTTTGTCGATATCACCGCCGCTCCCCGTGGTTTGAGTCTGATTGCTTTGGTTTCCAGCTGCCAGGCTCAATTGATTCTCAGCGGATGTTTTCCAAAATAATTTCAGAGAGCTTGGAAGCTCAGCCATTTACGGTCACCATCTGTCAAGAGACAGACAGCCTCTTTTTTAAAAACAAAAACAAAAAAAAAGGAGCCGTGCGGGGTGATTTACCTGTAGAGGAGAATCGAGGCAGTCCTCTTCCTTCACTATCGGCGTCTGTTTATTGGTGGTGGGCACCTCGTATGTCATCACGCTCCATCTAAGGAACACAGAGTGATAAAAAAAAAAAGAAAACCGTTATCAGATAATCACACAGAGATAAGACGCAACAGCCTCCTTATCCTGTTCAAACAGCAGGTCAATGAAGAAATGACCTGCAGTTCAAGGTGAGTTCAAAGAGAAGTTTGACCTCTGCTGCCTATAAAAAAGTTTACGTTATCATTTAATTTCACCCCAAAAGACGTCACAACTCGCAGCGTGTGGTAAAGCCTACACTGTCCTTTTACTCCAGAATAGTTTGTTTACTTGAATGAAAACCAAAAGACAAAATTGGAAGAAGCAGCCATCTGCCGTGACCGGTTGGGGTAGATGATTAACAGTTAAAGAAAACATACCCCAAACTCATGGGTGAAGCATGTAAGGCATTTTATCTCCCGTTTGCATCATTGCCCGCATGAAGAACCAGGAAGAAGGCCAACCTGAACAGTTACATTTACAGCCAGGTATGTAGAGTATGCTCCATCACTAAGATAAGCTTCAGGTTATTTTAAGTGACAATAAAGGGAGTGTCCAAATGCTGGCACCACGCACTGTGATTGGTTCTTTATAGTCCCAACGCCATTGGAAAACAGCGTAGATAGGATAGGGTCAATAGAGTCATTCCTGGAGCCTGACAGTTTTTAACAGCAGGTCATAGGTGTGTGTGTCAGATTTTCAAAATAAAAGCCTTTGTTTTTCTCAATTGAATACATGTGCGCTTTAAAAATCTGTGAATTTTTTTTAAACATAAAAGCCTCATTTAAGTCCAGGAAGTTATTGAGTTCACAAAAACGGTGTCTAATTTTCAAAATAAAAGACTGAGTATTCAATGAAAGCTACAAAGAGGCTTTGGTGGTGGCTCTATAATGTAAAAAAATGAAGATACATAAAATATAAATAAATAAATCTGCCAAATCAAACATGAGGGTTACTCGCACTGTGACTTATAAAAGCCTTCTATTTAGCTTTGTTTTAACTTTTTACAACAAGTATGAAACTGCTCTCTCCCTTCAACGTTTGAAGCCAACCTGTTTACCTCCAGCTCTTTAGCATCAACCTACAGACTGAGTCCGGCAGTAGCAGCAACCCCCCACGATTTCTCCAGAATCACACATCAAACATAAGGTCCAGGGCCCAGAATCGGTCCCCAAAAGGACTCCCATCTGGCCCACTGGACGAGTTTGGAAAATGTGGAGGAGTGAATAACTTTGAGTTTTATCTGTATTTTCATAACTTCTACAGATAAGAACCTCCCCCATGGTTATTAATACTAAACCAATGTAATTAAGTAACTGTTTTTTTTATTATCTACTGTAAAAATTTCTGATGGGTACAGTGGTTTAATTAGATAAATAGAAATCGAATGGTTTCTGTGAGTTAATAAAAAACCTTGTTATTTATAATTACTGTCCAATGACATGCTACAGATCTTTCTGTCCTTTTACACATTTATTTCTTACAACTTAAGCCGAAAGAGCCTTGTTGACAGACTTCTTTCATTTACTACAGCAGCATTTCTTTCTCATGTAAACAACCAAGACGTAGTGTTGGGCACAGCCATTAAAAGTTTTAGGTTTTACTGGTTCGGCCCACTTAAGATCAAAGTAGTTTGTATGTGGCCCACAATGTGAAATGAGTTTAACTTTCCTGGTCTAGTTCGTTTACTTTAGTAAAGTTTAATATATTTGCTCTTTATTAAAGTTTATCCATGTCGTGGCCCTTACTCCTTCTATTACAAATATTTTACTTTGTTCAAATCATTCATTATAACTCTTTACTTCCTTATTATTTTGCAGATTTTAAAATCCAAATCCAATTTTTCCTGAGCTTAAACGCCACACTCTGTGCTTGATATTCCAGTTTTCCGATCACGTATTCAGTTTTTTGGTCGTGGCAGCACCTCTGAGCGACAAGTGAGCCTCACAAGGAAGTGCTAAAAACTGCAATTCCACTCGAGGCTGAAAAGTCACAGACTCCCACGTTAAAATGCCCAAATCTGCAGCAGAAATAAACATGTTTACAGACATCATTAAGTAACAGCTGTGCCAGCACAGGCAGCCACTAGCTGTCTGCTGGATGTCACGTTAGATAATTGGAGCCACTGGACCTCTAGGCAGTGTGGCGTTGGACCCTTCTGGAAAACTTTTAATCTAATTATCTGACAAAAATGATGACCTACTCTGTGGTTAATTGTGCTATGAGTCAAAATCTTAAAAATAAGGTGCAAGTAGAAGCGGACATTTAAGAGGTCACTGTTGAATTGTTTAAAATCGCTGAGGCTAAGGAAGGCTGTGTTGGATTCACATGATGGCACACGGGGAGAAAAAAAGCTCGCTGCGGCTCATTTTCTGGTTTTAATCGGCACCATTTATGGCAAATATGAAAAGGTGGTTTCCAACATTCTGTGAAGCTCGGGGGCTCTGTATGAATTTGTCTGTGCACTCAGTCCGTTTCATTTTGTGCCCGTCGCTGGCTGAACTCTGTGGCATTAAAAGTTTTAATTTTTAATTTTATAAATCTTTCTCAGGAGTGCAGACAGAAATGAATAGCCTGTAGTACTTTTATTTAATTCTTTTTATTACTTTTAGTATCACCTGCTGCTGTCTGCAGCCCTTCAATGAACCTAATGAAGCGAAATATAAAAACCTAACAGGACCAGATCTGTTTTTCATTAATTCGTTCATCTGGGACATCCTCCTCCAGCAAGTTATTTCAAGAAAACACCGTGAACATCTCTCGTCTCACAACCCAAACAAATAAATTAAACTGCACTTACAGTGCAGTAGCAGTAACAGCTAAAAGCACTTCAGTCTGGACCTTTAAATTCAGAGGACTTTTACAGGAGCCAACCCAGCTGAAACCAAAGTTTCCACCCTCACTCCCTCTGGTCTTACCGATCCAGCATTTTGGTGGTGGCTCTCTCCAGCTTCTCCAGGATCTGTAGGAGCTGAGCGTCATCGTCGCAGAGGCCGCCCCAGCCCAGAACGCGAGCCAGGTCGTTACCTGTGCCCAGAGGCAGCACGCCCAGCTGACACTACAGACACGTGGAGAAACGAGAAACTGATGCAAAGTACAGAACAATAAAAAGCAAACAAACTGATGACTACGACAAAGCTCACTGCAATGGCTTAGTTTTGCACTACATCTGTCTTCTGGGACATCCTCACCCTTTCCTGTGCTTAAAAATATACTTAGACGCCCAATAACATTTGGCTACATGTCTTTGATTTGTTTTAGCTTAAACTGCCTAGCTGCTGATCTGACATGACTTTGACGAATTTGGGGGTAGTCCTCTGCCTTCTTTATTACGTCCACTTTGTGCAACGTACCAAGAGCACTGATAGTGAAACAGCCCCAGAGCACGATGCTACCATCACCATGCTTGGCACCACCGTGGCTGCAGTGTTGCTGTCTCCAGAGGGCACTGGGCATGTGTATATTTGTCTTATATTTTAAAATAATTAAAAATCACCATGACATTCATTCCCAGGATGAGTGGATATAAACTTCTAACCACACCTGTTGGCCTGACAGCAGCAGACAGAAAAGTGATGCTCATTTAGCGCCGGTAATAAACTGTCTGTAGTTAACTTCTCTGAGAGGTTTGTTTCAACTGCAATGTTAAATGATCAACAAATCTATAAAAATCATGCTGAGGTTACAAAAATTCTGACTCCTTGATTTGTTCATCTAACATCTTAAAGCTGATGCTGACTTAAGCGGTTAATCTTATTCATTTAGCCTGGAACAAAACTGATTAGACGTGGCACTTTATATAAAATTAGTATTAATTTAACATAAAAGCCATGTTAATCTGCCACAACATCAATTTATGTGAAATTAATTTAATAAAATGAATGAATTAGTTCAGCTAAGGAAGCTGTGTTGCCCTTCTCTCTACCATGAACCACTCCCTCTCCAGTCAGGATCAATGTTATATTAGACTTCGATTATAGACTCAAGTATGTAAACTTGGCTTGTTGTTGGTGTTTCTTCTGAAAGCACCTTTCGCCAGCATCAAGATTAACACAACAACAGGTATCTCGCTGCTTTCTCCTACCCATCGGCGTTACATCATCGGCAACATCCACTCCTCCTCCTCCTCGTTGTTCTCACCTGTTTATGGAGGTTGAGTTTATCCAGCTCTGAGAGCACCCAGCCCACGCTGCCATCTCCTCCGCACACAAGAATACGAAATGTCACAAACTTCTGGAAGAGGCGCAGGCTGAGGAGGAGAGAACGAGAGGCAGGTGTTTACAGAGAGCAACACTTATTAAATGTTCTACTGGAGAACGACCCGTAGATATTACAAGGACTCAGAAAGAAAAAGCTCTTAAATACCCGAGCTCTGGCCCTCCATTCATCAAGTCAAAGACCTGCGCTGGGTTCAGAAGCTGCTTGAACTTGCGGAGGAACTTGACCCCCTGGTTGTCCCCGCTTTTGGAGTTGACCAAGACCAAAAGAGGGCTGGAGCAGGACGCCGAGGTGGCCTTCCAGAAGCCTGTAAACGAGCAGAAATGTTTGTATAGCTCACAGCGTGGAGTTCAAACGCCACTGGGACCGTGTTCAAACTGTAAACTGCTGATGATAGATGCACAAATTCCAGGGATAAGGGTTAGTAACTTGGAATTACAAATTGTCAGTGTCAGTAGAAAAAGCCAAGTCAGGCTAAGTCACAATTTCATTACATGACTGAACTTTAAAACCTACTGTAAAAGTAATACTGTGTGTCCATGTGGGTGGGAGTAAGAGGTGTCTCACCGTCTGAGTCGATGCTGTTAAGTGCAGTTGGAGGGATGATGGACACTCGACATTGGCCCAAGGGACACACCTTCCCCATTTGTTCCTTACAGCTGTTATGGACCTGTGAACGCACATGCACACACACATACAGAGTCAGTGGTCTCCAGTAATTCTATATTTCAGTAGAAGCAGAAAGGTCATTACATCCCTCTGAAACCCACCAAAATGCCAGTTCTGTAACCTTTACAAATGCCACTGTGATTCATTTGAGTGTGCGAGCCTGTGTATGCGCGTGTCTTTGTATACCGAGGATCAGACTTCGCATTATGTGTGCCCGTTTGGCCTGAACGCTCAAAAAACACAATGCCGCTCTTGCTAAATGGAACAAGAGGATAGAGTAAATCTACATCTCTCTGTGTGTTTGAATGCTTCCACTGGACTTTTCTGTTTGACTACATCAGTGTTTCAAAACCCACTACAGTAGAGCACAAACATAATAAAAGACAGGCTCCTGTGTACTCCTTATTAAGTAAAGAGCGGCTGTTTCAGGCTTTCCAGTGCGATGCTTGGGCTGGTCTTTTGGTGTACACTGGGTGAAATGACACTAATCCATAATGTGAGGGTAAGTGGTTATAGTGCAAACCACATGGGTAAAAATGCACTCAGCAGCCCGATGCTCACTTCAGTAATTTCCCAGTTATCCCAAATCAACTCCCAACTCATCTCATCTACTGACTGAAGGTTGGAGGTTCGATCATTGGGGAGGATACTGAACCCCAAGGTCTCCTTCCAATGTTAGTTAGTAAGTGTAGTGCTTGTATGAATGCATGATTAAGGCACATAAAACGCTTTGAGTGCACTAGTAGAGTGGAAAAGAGCTAAATCAATCAATCTGTTTACAGAGTCTCCTGCCTAATTGTACTGTTGCACTTAAGTAATGGGAACTGTATTTCACGTTAAAACATGTGGAAGAACTATATTAAAACTATATATATGCACACTCTGGTTTTACTCTAGTTAATATTAGAGCTGCAGTTTCATACTTTCTTTGCCACTTGGGGACAGACGGTATGGACGCAGCTCTCAGGTCAGAAAGCGCCTTAAACCTGTATTTTCTCTGAAGGCCAGCAGATGGAGATAGCTGTGACTGGAAAAGACTTTCTGTCCTACTGAGGTTTCTCATGGGATGTCATACGTGCTTCGCTTAACAGTTGGACGTGGTACAACACTCAGTTGCTAGGGAAACTGGCTGGCTTATTCCCCGACTGGCTGGTGGTTCATGGAGGTTTCTGCGTCTTACTAGTTGAAATCGGTTGCAAAGAAGGTGCCACACGGTTGTAGTTTTTCATGTTTGCCTGCAAATACTTGCTAACTACTAGTCCACTGGTAGTTAAATTTGAAGAAGTGAAGTGAAGAAGGTTCACTTTCAAAGTAAAAGTTATGCTGGTTGCACATTTCAAAGAAAGCAACTTCGAAGGCAAACGGTCTCCATTTCTGATTTCTGTTGCACATCTTACTGTGTTTGTGTACGAGCCCATCGCCGACTCGTCTGCAGGCCTGTGGGATTTAGCATTTATATTCCCAGCCACTGCCATCAAATTTGATTAGTCTTCCTGTTTGTTCCACTGCTTTCTGTTTTCCTTGTTTGTTTGGACTAGACTCTTGAAAGAAAAACAGCAGCCAAAGGAACTGACGAAAAGAAAAACCAAAACAACCCCATGGGCAAAGAAACAGAAATCACTTGTGTGGGGACATCGTAGTAGATTGTTCTACTACGATGTCAATATTTCTCACTTGTACAGTCGGGTCTAGTACATCACAGCTACTGCAATAAAAAAACGAAACGTTTCTGGCTGTAAAACCAGAACAATGGGCTGAAAGGCAATAAAATGCTCCACGGATTTCAGGGGCATCTCTCTGTAAAACTTTTACATATTCTTTTCTATTAGGCAAGATTATTTTATCCATTTTATACATGGAAACATTACAAAATAATGGTTTAAATGAATTTAAAAGCATGAAAAATTAACTAAAACGTCTACGTATTTTATGCAGAATTTGAAGGACTTTAATTTTATGTTAAGATGCACCAAGTGCTGTTGGTCCTTGTGCCACTTTCTTTGCGGGATTATAACCAGCCTGTCAATGCCCTCCTAAATATTATTAATACTCCAGCGCACACAAAAAATGATTCTCCACATCGTGCTTGAGGCGGTCGAAGCATCGGGTCAGTTTCAGCAGCCCTGCAGCTGACAGGAATTTATCAGCCCCTGTTCCATTTCTCATTTTAACTTTCCTTCCTATTCCTCCTCCCCTCGGGGATCTCTGCTGCCAATCTATGTGCCGTCCCATTAGTCTGATGACTCTGCTGAACTTCTCAGACCTTGAGTCTTCGGAGGAGGTGAGAGCGGGAAGTCAAGGACAATAAAAAGCTCTTGGTTGTTTTTTCCAGAGAAGTGGGAGGAGCGTCTCATGTGGAGAATCACAATTTCCTGCGCATGAGTCAACATGTCCCAAGGGCAGACAAACAAATAAAGGGATAATTGAATCTTATGAATTTATCTGAATTTGATCTCTCTGTTCTGTACGGAGCCGCTCACACGGTTCCAGATAACGAGACGTGTATCGTGCTTAATGAAAACCCTGCGTTCATATTTAAATGTGACAAATGATGCACTTTTATTTTGCTGACAACATCACTTCCCGAATTACCTCCATTATTGGATGAGTCTGTTTGCATCGCACACTTTTCCCAGTGCACCCCTGCTATGACTCCATTTCCGTGGGCATCGACGCATTCGAATGACAGAAGTTCAAATAAGAAAGGCTGGAAATAACTCTCAGCTAAAAGCAATGCCCCAGATAAACACTAATATTGATTCAGCGTGACAGTTTTTGATGGGATGGAGGCTAAACTCAATCCACACTTACGATAGCCTTGCACCAGAGGCAGCGCCAGTCCTGCAGTCGCCTCACGCTGCCACAGTTCTTATCACACACCACACATTTGGCGCTGACGGGCAGATTGCCTTCCAGCCACTGGTGGGGCATGGACACCTGGAGGGAAAAATAAATAAACAAAGCATATCAAATGAAGCCCTTCTGCTCTAAAGACATCAAACCAAAGGTATGCACATCAGGCAAAATAATTTGCATGAAAACAAAACCAAATGCAACTCGTGAGTAAGCCTCGGCTCGTACCCCATCCTCATCCTCAATGATGTCATTTCCTATGGAGGCTAGCGTGGTCCACTTGCAGTTGTTGGTGGAGCGAACAGCACATCTCTTGTGAGCCTTGAACTTACAAACTGCAGAGGATAGATGAACAAATATCATGTCAGACACACTGGAAGTCTCCACTTTTATCCTCTTCTATTTGGGTGAGTGTATGATGTAAGCTTCCTGATGGTCACAGTGTGTGACTGTACTCCTGATAGAGCTGTGTAAAACTATGCGATAACATGATGAGACAGTGTACATATGGACTGGAGAGCAGCTGGAGGGGGTGCTAAAAACTGCAGCTCCTCTAGTCTGAGGCTGCTCTAAACGAGGGCTGGTCCCCATAGACTCCCATGTTAAGAGGCACAACTTTAAAGCAAAGACAAACATGTTTGCAGCCTGCTGCAAAACTCAGTTTTAGTTGGAAAGCATGTGCAGTATAACGTGGTTTTTGATGCTTAAAGTTATCAATTGGGGCGTGGCCTCTTTGAGCGACAGTCACAGTTAAAGCACTAAAAGCTCGTTACAGTCATCTGCACTTTTGGTCACTGAAGCTCTGATATTTTATTTCTGTGTTATAGGTTATAACAGCTATCTGTGCTATAGCTGACATGCTAAGGCTCTTTGAGGTGGCTGCTGTTGTTGTGAATTTTATATAAATGATATTTAAACTGAGTCCAAATATGGTCACTACAAGTTAAACAAAAAAACTAAGCAGGGATCCACAAGTTCAGAGGTGGTTACTGCTTAATTACTGCTGAGTTTTGCCATCATTTAGATACAGTCTATGGTAAATGTACTGCTGGGTTTTTAAAGCACGAGAACAAAATTAATCTGAAGCAAGGACAGTGGGTCGACTAATTAGAGTTAATCAGTTAATTTCTTTGTTTTACCTAATCAACTTCATATTAGGGACCAAATTAAAATAAAGTGTTACTTAAATACCTGTAACACTTTCTTTCTTCAAGATATGTTGTGCTGAAATTAAACAAAAGGAGCCCTCAGGTACTAACATGTTCTCTGAGAAGAGAAATTCTCTTTAATGGTAATTGGAAACCTGCAGCCTCAATCACACAGACCTTGAGTCTAGTGATACCCTGGCAACATGCAGTTGCTAGGGAAAAACGTGTTTTTCCTGATCAGTTGGCGGGTTGTTGTTGGCAGTCGCTGGGTACATGGTGCTTTTACTTTGAAGGAGACTGGTCTCCTTTTCTAGTTTCTTGGACTTTGAGGTCGACATACATGGATATTTTGGTAAACCTAGATTTTTGTGTGTTTTGGCCTTTCTTGCACGTGTAAATGCCATTGTTTGTTGGATTTTGAGCTGCCGCTTAAGGGTTATATGGCGACCTGCTGCTCTGGCATGATCTTGATAGACTTTGAGGTGGTTTTACGCATTTTAATGTTCACTGAGATATTTTTCAAAATAAGCTCTTAAAATCCTGTCCTCTTCAGAAATTGTTCCGTCTTCCTCCCTTCTAAACCCCCAACCGCAGATGGCTGCTCCTCCTGGTTCTGCTCAAGGTTTCTTCCTGTTAAAAGGGAGTTTTTCCTTCCCACTGTCGCCAAGTTCTGGCTTACAGGCTGTCGTTGGATTGTTGAAGTTGTCTCTGAATTACAATTGAATGTGTTGAGTGGATTTAAAGTATGTCTGTAATCTGATTTTTACCCCTGATATGAGAGGTGACGTACTGTCTCCAGTTGTATCACAAACCTGTTAAGCAACCATTGTCACAGTGCAGGAAAGAGCTTTAAAGCTACTTTATTACTGCATATCAAGTGCAGACAAAGAGAACGCTGGTGATGTAATTTTTCTTGTTAGACCAAAAATGGTAGGATTGTTTCTTAGAAATTAATGCATGAGTGACTCGACGTTCCAGTGACTTCATATGAGTGAGCGCAAGAACACAGATGCAGTGTGTGTGTGCATGTGTCTACGTGCCTTCACAGGACAGGCCGTGGGAGGTGACACCTGGCAGCGCCTCTCTGCAAACGTTGCAGAAGGTCGGTCTGGCGTGCGAGCAGGCGTACCAGTTGTGCATCCCGGAGAAATGCTCCATATTAAACTGACTGGCCTGGGGGGGTGGGAAGGAGAAACATTGAGGTTGAAACGCGTCAGCACTTCTCTACACAAGAGGAAACACAAAAGGACAAAAACGAGAACTTTCCCGGAACTACAATTAAAAAAAATAACTAGGCTGGGGTAGGAGAACGATGGCTGCACAATTCATCACCTGCTTAAAATCACATCACATGAATAACTAGAGATGAGAAGGCAAAAATTGAAACCCCAAATTAACTTTTATAATAAAAAGCCTAGGAAGGCCAAAAATCAAAGAGAATATAAGCTCATAAAAAAAAATCAGAGCCTCCACTTTATAACCAATTAAAGAGGAGGCTTGGTTTTATGAGGACATCAATCGGTAGGCAAAGAGCTGAAATGAGAGGCAGATAAAAAGGAGACGAGAAGATGTGAAGGTGGATCATTTATGTGAAAAACAGATGCAAGAAGAACTGAGCTGTGAAAGCCTGGTCTCATCAAAATTAATTACACACTCATGACTAGCTATTATCTAATGATAATCAGTTTGGCCCAGTTTACTCTCACGTCAGCCAGGAGAACGAAGGATGGGGCTGAAACATAACAAGAGCCCGACACAGAGATGAGAAGCACCAACCTCGTAGGTTTCCCACTTTTGGACGGATTTCAGCGCCGTGATCCAGTCCTCCATTTCCTTCCTGCTTTCAGCGCATAACATTAGTTTGCGAAATGGAGTGATCACCTGAGAAAGAAAGAAAGTGGAAAGCTTAGAAGAGAGCAAAAAACTTGACTCCAATCTTTGAATTTCTTGTAGTTGTTGAGCAATATGGCATGACAGGCTAATGGAAGCACCAGCTGTTCTTCAGATATATGTCCCCAAATAAAATTCTGAATTAAACAAACTTATTAGAAGTTATCAATCCTGAAGTTAATTAAGCCTGGTATGAAGACGACTTTTACTTTTAAGACGAATGTTCTCTGTTTCCGGATTGCGTCGCTCTTTTTCAGGTTTCTACTGCTTGGTGGTTAGCTAGCAAGCGTGCGCAAACAAGTTGCCGTCTTCAGTGCAAACTACGGGCAGTCTCCTAGAGACCAAAGCAATCAGAAGGTTTCTGTGCAGCTCTGTATACCCCTTAAGTTCAATTCCTACATTTTGCTTTAAACTTTTTTATAAGCCAAAATTAACATTACCTGTTATATTAAAGTGAATAACAAACACACCTTGCTAACCAGACAAGCTAACTTAGCTAACTAAATTAGCTGATTAGCAGTAATCTTTTACACTAAAAAACAGCCATGTCACCACCAAATAGCTGAGCTGGCATCCATTAAAATGGTCTATTTCTGACCTAGCATTAGTCCATGTAGGCTATTTTGTCATAATTTGCCCTTAGAAAAGTTTTAAAGGGCCACCTTGTAGTCAATTATAAGGCCTGTCTTGGGCTTACTGTGAAACTGTTGTTGATGTTCTTGGTGCTGGTCTCAGCCACACTGGCATCTGATAGGTCCACTTCATCAAAAATTAGGGACTAATGGGAGAAAAAAAACCCATCAGCTTATTTTTTAGCCAGTTACATTTAAATAAAAATGTTACAGTTTAAGAGCTACGGCGGTAAAACGATCACACAGTTCTGTACCTTGCAGTCTTTGGCATAGTAGAGGGTCCTCCCTCTGAGTTTGAAGTACCTCCTCTTCCACCTCTGGAAGGAGCTTGTTTGCTTTAACAGGATTCCCTCCTTCACACTTTTCTGTAGTGAGAGAACAGAGACAGAGGGGATAGGAGGAGAGGAGGAGGAAGATAAAACAGACGTTAGCGCATCCAGAACCTCTGAATATCAGCCGTGACAGCTATTCTTCTCGGAGTTCACACGTAAACAGAAGGAGATCGGTTTGGATAGTGTCACTCGGATGGCTTGCTTTTGTCAAACAAAGACAGATAGAGCTGCACACATGAGCAGAGCGGTGTTGACTGGATCTGTCACGATAAAACAGAAGCATCAGCCCAAAGGCACCGCTGGGCTTTTTCTGTATTTTCACCCGATATGTGTGTGGATGAGATCAGGGGCCCAAAAACAGCACACTAATCTGTTAAAGCAGCAAATAACGACGTTTGATTTGGTTTGCAGTACACTCATGCAGCATTCAAGTCAGGTAGGGAAGCAGCAGGTGGGAGATGCAGTCATCCGTGGCCACGTAGAAATTATTACCACGGTCAGAACGTCAGAAGATCGAATGATTTCATTTGATACAATCGATCCGCTTGGCTGAAACTCATCACCAATTTTCCTCATCTCTGCTTAAACATGCGCTCGTTCTTTCTTCCCCCCTGTTTGTGACTACATGGTGCAAGAGGGCCGAATCCCCCACGGGTAATCAATTTGAGACAGGACATCGGGAAGGGGTCGCCATGGAGATCCTCGTTTCTCGTAACAACCGCTGGCACATGCAGATAGGATCTTAAAAACGCGCAGCTCCCTGCATACCTGCACATTCATCACCAAATGTAGCAACAAATCACTAGATCTGCCTCCGTAACAGCCCAGAGGCTTCCACATAAAGAGAATAACCGTGTGCCTGCATGAGTCACCCGCATGTCATGGCAGAAAACAGCTGTATCACACACGTGATAAAACTGGAAAGAATTCACTTTCAAGGCATCTGTGAAAACTGCTACAAGCTCCTTTTTAATGTTTCTTCATCTTAACACTTTATTCCAAGTGTCGCACATGCCACGTGGACTTTTGTCATTTTGGAGGTAAAACTTCACAAAGCTGAAGAGTTATGGTAATGTGAAGTGCACATGGAAAAATCTAGGTGGATTTCATTTTTCTGTCTGTGTTCAGACAGCAATACCTTATAAATGCTTTGTGCTACCCTGATACACCAAAATCCCCATAAAGCTCAATGTCTCTTCTTTCCAAAACAGTTTGAATTTTGTGTCTAGCACCAGGTAACAGAGTAAAGGTCATTTAAAGAGCGCTTACAAGATATTTTTGCATTCATGGCATTCCATATACTCAGTTTCTTTGTCTTAATGAATAACTCAAGAACTATTCAAGATAACTTTTCAGCCAATAAGCCGAATCAGGAGGACTGCAGGTAATCACATCTTACCTTCCTCTTACCATTGTTTTCAGCAAATAAGACTTGCATAACAAACCAGTTCTCCAGGAGTTAAATTGTGTGTGTAAGTATGTCAACTTCCATCCAAGATCTTTTTCATTGCTTGAGGATACGGTCTGAAGATATTTTTCACTGTGAAATTAATATCAGTTTTCTAGGGGAGGTTTCAGGCGCTTTTCAAAAACACGTGTACGTTACTTTCCTAGTGAAAATTAACAAACGTCTCAGCTCAGGCATGGTTCGATGGCAGGTGGCTCAGCAGTCACTTGGCAGCGTTTCCATTTCAGAGCGGAAGTCTTCCCTTAAGGGAAATTGCAAACAGGAGCTTTCAAAAGTGAAAGTATTCAAATTTGATAATATCTCGCAGAGCAGGTAGTTGGCTATTTTTATCTTTAGTGGTCTGAGTGCAAACAAAAAGAAAAGGAAGAAGATTAATGCATTACGCTTCTAACATCTCTAGGGTTTGGCTTTTCATTCAGTCCTTATATTTCACCTTGTATCTTACGCCTCAAAATTATTACTTTTTGTTTATTTTTACTGATCTAAATGCATTTCTGTCATTCTGTGTTTGTCATGGGTTTAACGCCAGCTGGATGCCAGGCTCACAACAGAAAGGACTGCGTCTACTAGAGCAGTGGTCCCAACCCCCGGGCCACGGACCGATACTGGTGCGTGAGCCGTTTCGTACTGGGCCGCTAGAGTTGAGGCTTGGTGCGAAATTTATGGTTTTCAGGGTTTTTATCGTGATTTTTTACTTCATTTCTATCATTAAATCGGTTTCCCTGGAGAATTTCCTGTGTATTATAAATAAATCTTCTGTTTTTTGGTACCGGTACTGGTTTTATGTTGTTGTATTTATCCACGACACCTTAAATGCTGGTCCATTAAAATATTGTCGGACATAAACCGGCCCGTGTCGCAAAAAAAGGTTGGGGACCGCTGTTTTAGAGGAACTGAGCCAACCTAGATTAGACAGCCATTACTGTCAAATGGGATTATTTGATACAAAGATAGACACTGACATTTATATACTTGCTACTGGTAACATCAGTCTAATTGCCTTTTTCTGCACCACAGAGGCAAACCCAAGATAATAGCATCTGTCCACATTTTATATATTGATACCTAACATTTACTTTAAATATTTTGGTGCATTCAATAGCACATGTATCTACTAGTCCATGATACAGATGATTCTGACAGTTTCAGTCCTCCATAACTTCTGTTACTGCTTATGTTTCTCCTGACCTTCCTCTTTCATCTCATGCGATTTCTGTCTTACTTTCTCCGGCTATTTCTCTTAGCAGTAATGTCCTTGGCTGTGTGAACAGTGGGAGTAATACAAGGCAGAGGCACCGCCGAACCAGTGATAAATCTAATTCATCGCTCCACCACAATCTCATTTCTCTCTTGCAGTGTGTGTGCGTGTGTCTCCGTCTGTCTGTGTCAATGTGCAACCATGAGATATCCCGCCTAGTAATGGCGCATACAGCTGCTTGTGCTCTCAGTGTGCTTGTTTCTTTCTTAGAATAAATGTGCTTTCATACCCTGCAGGAGAGAAAATCTCATATTGTCACCATGTGAGAGAGAAAGACGGAGAGAAAAGGAAGCAGAAAGGAAAGGACCGATGGTGGGAACAATGACAGATAGGCTCACGGTATGGATCATTAACAACAGGAGATGCAGGGGAAAAAAGAAGTATAGCTGCGAGAGCGGTGAGGACTGAGGAAGAGGAACAACACAAAAAGAGAAAGATGCAAAAACTACATCAACCACAGGCTCTAGAGAGTTGACTTGAAAGAAAACCAAAGAGCAGACGGTCCCTTGAGGAAGTAGAAGAAAGAACAAAATGCACCAACAGGAAGGTGTAAAGGTCTCTTTCCACTGACCCACTTGACACTTTAGAGATAACGGTGAGGTGTAACCACCATGTTCCACCAATCAAGCTTATCCGTGGTTGCCACAACAATGCCGTCACAAACCGTCAGTCGAGGAGCTAATCAGAGCGGTTTTGTTTGACGAACGCTAACAGCATTGCAGCCCAGGGTATCAGTAAAGGACAACCTGAAAGTCAGACCCAACACAGAGAAACTCGTCAAGCCTAATGACCCCATCCCCAAACCAGGGCCTAACATTTGGCTAGGTTAGCTTACTATCCTAAACATCCCAAGCGCATGAAAAATGCAGGTTATATGGAAAACATTGAGAAATTGAGTTGATTTAGAGCTGGCAAAAGCTAACGTGATAAGCGTTTCAGCAAAATCAGATAAAGTAAAGTTCAGTCTTCTCCAGCAGATGTTCAAATGCAAATTCAATCGATTTGCCTACATTTGCCAATTTATTCTGAAAAATGTTTTACATGCTGTAACTACCATTCGTCCCTTCACCCACAGAGATATATTTCAACCCCCCATTTAACAACAATTAAAAAGCAACTTTTGCAAACCTTTTTTATCCACCGAAGGAAAAAAGAAAACCTACGCTCCTCTAGTCTGTCATTTCTTTCCACTTACCTTATAAGCAGATTGCTGCCCCTTTCTGAGCCTACTTCACTCGGAGGTCTCTTCCTGTTAAAAGCGAGTTCTTCCCCTTTGCTATCACCAAGTCCCTGCTTCTTAAAAGCGCCTTCAGACAACTGTTGTTGAATAAAACTCCATCTATCACTATCTGTCACTTGAACTTCCCACTCATTCACTTCTCTTTGAATTTCCGCTGTCCGGCTACAAGACCAAGCAACTAAATTCTTCAACAGTCACACCTACTGCTAGAGTTCGCGATGAGCTTAATTTTGTGTATTTAAAACCGAGCTACGCAAGCATCCCTGGTCTTCTGCTACTTATTAATTGCACTGAGTCGTCATTAACCTTTGATCACCGTGCAGAAGGAACTAGTCCCTACATTAAAACAATAAAGAGCCCGACCAATTTATCTTTCCCAGGTAAAGTTTCCTTAGCTTTCCTGACTGAGTCACACACCTGAGCACAGTGGGTGTCACACATGCCATAAAGCCTCTTCAAGCTAATTCAGTGTACGGACTATATTGAACTGCACACAGGAACATATCGGCAGAGCAAACAGCACACGTGTGTTTCACATATAAACAGACATATGTGATATTCAAAGGTCACAGTGTCTCCTCTCTTCTCCAGCTGAGCGATGTTGTCACACAGATCACTCTATTCATTAGAGCAAACTAATCACATCACAACAATCATCCTGGCACACGCACACAGACAAACACTCAGAGGAGGGCAGTGAAGTGGATATGCACACTGAAGCACATTAACACATATACTTACTCATCTGCGAAATGCACACACACACACCCGGAGCTTTGAAGGGCGCCCACATCCACACAAACATCCGACTGAATCAACCCTGATTTATTTCTCCCTTCATTTAATTCTCTAACAGACCACACACACACACACGTCTGTCAGCCTCCGTCCTGCATGAAAGACTGACCTTCAGTGTTCAGTGTAAACACTCAATCAACAAATCACTGAAATTTGGACTTTCTCCCAGACAGCAGAGCGACACGAGTGACTCGACCAGTATTCTGGCGTAAACACAAAGACTGCTGCACAAAAACTTCCTGCAGTTTTATTTCCACTCGGTGAAATGA